TTTGACAATATAACATTGCATTACCGACACGCGTTTTACACAGTAATCCCTAAATGCCTCCATACATTTGGGAGATTTAGGAATTAGCATTTTAATATCGGCGACTTACAATATCCCCCTGTACAGACCCATGTGACGCTTGATGCTTGGTTCACATCGGGAGAGCTTAGTCATTCTTTGTGGTTTAAGATCAATTTTTCCTTTTGTACAGAAAATCCGGCAAAGTATTTAGGGGGCGGTGAGATTGCTTTGGTGTTCTCAGATAACTGCCCTGTGCTTCAGACTTTAGCACTGGAAGTTATATTTTTGACCCAATCCTGATAGACCTACAGAACGCAACCCCAGCCCTGTTCTGCTCTCTTTCCATCAAATCTGACCAAGTGCACTGTTCTTTCTAACGCAGACTTTTTGAACTCTTTGAACCACTGACAAATGATAGTAATTGTGTCTCGACAGCTGGCTACAACGGGAACTTACCCAAAATGTCTAAAAAGTGATGCTTTTGGCAATACTATTAATAACACAACAAACTTATATAGCACTTGAACTTGATGCTTTAAAAATATATAACAATTGTCTTCAATGTTAACGTTTGTAATAATTATAATAGAGTTTGTTTATAATGCTCCTTACATATGCCATGCACATCTCAAGGTGCTTCAGCAAGTTAAAAACATAATCAAAACATCAGAATAAAAACAAGTACAGACAAATAGAAAAATGCATAAAAAGACATGGGCTGAAGATCAACAGGCCTGAAAATTAAGGAAAGGCAAAGTGAAACAGTGGGGTTTGAGAAGTGATTTAAAGTTCTGTAGTGAGTGAGACTTTCTGATGAGAGGTTCGGTGTTTAGTCCTGAGGGGCGTGAGGAGGTTGGAGTCTGTAGATCTGAGGCGGCGGGTGGGTCAGTGATGATGGAGGAGGTCAGTGAGGACAGAAGGGGCCAGGTTATGGAGGGACTGGTAGGTGAGGAGGAGGAGGACTTTGTATTGGATGCGGTGTGGAACAGGAAGCTAATTTTAAAACTTTGACAATGATTTTGTTATCAAGTACATCAGCAATAATGAATTATATATGGGCCAATATCTCTACTATTTATTTTCTTCTGTAATGCCACTATCTCACCTGAATTCACTTTGGTCCTCCTCCTTATAGTCATGTGGCCTTATACATTCCATCACAGTTTCAGCTTGTGCAGTAACCCACCTCCTCCCCATCACCACCTCACAGTGGGAAATTCTCTCCAGGTCATTGCCTCATCGCTCTGCTTTTGATAAAATGCATTCCCAAATTCTTACACAAAGACTAGATCAACTTTGTTTATTGATTTAAAATTTTCTCCTTTTTTGCAACTAGATAACTTTTCTCTTTTTCCCTCTATTGCTAACACTAGAGTGCCTCAGGGGTGTGTTCTGTCGCCTCTCCTTTTCATACTCTACACGCAGTTGTAGATCGTCTCTTCTGTCAGGTTTAGACACAAGCCAGGATCATTATCTGGTTTAAATACATTTGTTAACCTAAAACGGTTTTGATAGCATCAAATATTGTGGTGCAAACATGAACACATTGTATAACAAGGATAAAAGACAAGGATTAAATTAAAATATTTGAATGTCGACTAAACCATTCTTAACTTATAAACTTGTATTGTTCTTTTAATGAAAGAATGGGCGAGGCTTTTTGTTAATCCCACTGTGAGGAATTTACAAGTTTGATGAGAAAAACATCTAGGAGTGCAGCAGCCTACTCACTTTTTCATATATTTGTTGGTAAGTGAAGGACATAAACAAGATTCAGAGCATAGTTTACACTGGCTCTAAAATCTTTTGAGTTCAGACTGAGAGACCTTCATCTCAGTGGGAGGAGCAGGTGCTGAGAGTCACGGGTCAACTCCAACACTCTCTGATCTCCAAGTTTGTCAAGATGCCTTCGGGCATCGTTTTGAACTCTTCGCATTGTCTTGTCTCTTGTGCCCTCTGTTTTTTGAAGTAGTATTTTATCCTGATGCTTTTATATTGTAGATTGTGAAATCCCTTTGAGTGGTTTTCAAAATCTGGAAAGTCTTATCCTTTTTGTAGTCAGGTCTGAGTGACAAAAATGTACTTTACTATACCATACATCTACGCATTTATCAATCCATTTGTAAAATAGCTTCATTATGGTGTCAGTTTGCTCAGATGTGAAAGCAAAGGTCAGTTACTTCATTGAAGGTGGAGAGAATGTTTTCAATGCGAGCGCCTGTTAGCCCTGCCCCCCACAGGTTCCTGATTGGATGCAATTAATTTAGATTCTTGACATACCGCTGAGACCCCCTCAATTGGCCTAACTATTCTCCTCATGCAGATCTAACTGCTGGTGGTTATTCCAAGGGGAGGGACTGCTTTAAATATATGTATTGTGAAAATCATTGAATACAGATGATACTACAGGGCCATATGACAAAAATTATGCGTTCTTTATTTTAAATTAAATGCAATTAAAGTTGTAGACATCACCTTTAAGGGGAGGTTATGACCTTTGCCTAAATCATGCAGTAATAATAATGCTTGCAAAAATATTTAAATACATATAATTCTAATAAATCCATGCCTTATTGATTTTGTATGCCATTAATACAACTACCTATAATAATCATATGTATCTGAAAGTTATTTTCGTTTGGATAGTTATTGAATATTTCTCCCTAACTCACACATATATTCGACAGTATTATTCTGATCCTATATTAAGAGCTCATATACTAAGTACATATAGACATGGAAAGGGCATTTCTGGTTGACATTCTGTGTTGAATAGGGCACTCACCCCAATTATTTTGCTTAAAAATGTCTTCTTCCTTCTGGCTATTTTTGATAGATTGTTAATTTAATCTCGTTACAATGGCTTCAGGGTGGAACTCGCCAGGCTTGCATAGCTCTTGGATTGGACATCACATTTCTTCCTCAAAAAAAAGAAGAAAAGAACCCACGGACCACCATCACACATTCAAATAGCTGCTATTTAGAATCATCATTCGAGCTGATTTTTTTCCCTGTAGACGTGATCCACAGAGGCTAATATTATGGGTCATCTGCTATTTATTCCAAATGTGCTGGAGCGGCAGTCTAATCATGCGATTCGTTTGACAGATTTCCTTGTTAAATTATTCATTGCTTTGACTTGATTGTGTAGAAATTGCGGTGACCCCAAAGAGCACCTGTCTACACACACACAGACACACACACACAATATGATATTGACATCTCGAGACCTGCTCTTCCACTGTATATATACAGTACATCTATAGTCACAGTAGATACAGTAGCCCTGCACTTGATCCATCCAGCCATCTCAGACTAATCATTGGCCCATTGATTTTTCGGTCTTATATCGAGAGGCTTCAAATGAATGCACTGGTCGTTTGGTTGCAGCTGTTCACTCGTCCAATCGATTAATAATAAGACTGGGACAACGCTGGCCATAAATTATTGTTCGAAGGTTGCTTTCATTATAACAGGTGAAAGAAAAACAGAAATGGTGAGTGAGACAACAAAGAGTTGTTGGAAAAAGCTGTGAGTAGAGATGGGATGGGATGAAATTTCCATGTTATGATTATCATGACCAGAAATACCATGGTATTCTTAGCAAAAACAAAAGCCTTTTTTATGAATAAAACATTACCCCTTTGTCATGTTTTTCTACAATTGTCTAAATAAGAGATATCTCAGAGCAAGTGGCCACAGGGGAATTTATTGTATTGTATTGTGTCGTGATTTTTGATAGTGTTAGTGTAGACTTTTAATATGACGATTAAAAGAAATGTGTGGGCTGTCAGAATTGACTTTTATTCCCACAAATAGTGAAACAAAGTAGCTCTGTCAAGACTGTCAAAAGGCATTTTCATATCTGTGTTACTTAGAATTATAAGATAATAAAGTGATTTAGTTTTTAATTTTATGTTTTTAGGACACAAAACAAACCGTGAAACAAGTATAAAGGGTATAAACTACTTTCTGCCTGTAACTCCCTATGCTACCACCAGAGGGAGATGTAACAAATGTATCGTAAACGTAATTTCACCTTTACAGCTACGTGTGTGCCAAACGTTCCTGATATTAGAAAACAATGTTGTAAGTTCAAAAAAGCCAATATTCATAATACGTCTCCTATCAGATACTGTCCGATCTCTGTAGAGATTTGTAGATTTTATTTAAAAAGGTGAAATTAGTCTGAAGAAGAATGGTGCGTAAGAGTAAAAGCTTATTTAGGATTATTTCTCTCTCTCTATCACTTGCAGAAAATACTATTATTTTTTGTGAGCATTTCTCAAAACACTTTTCTTGCAGCACTGTAGAAAGCTGTTTCCCTGAGGCACACGTGGCTGGAGCTTTCACACAGTCATCAATTGCACCTACAACAGTCTTAAAGTCCCAGAAATGTAATATTGTTTTAAGAAATCACCAAAAACAATAGACCAGGGGTTGTCAAACTGGTTCCAGAAATGGCCGGTGTGGCTGCAGGATTTCATTCCAACCATGCAGGACCAGGCAACACTCCACACCGGCCATTAGAGGAAAGGTTTGACACCCGTATAGAATGACCACATTTCAGAGGTGGAAAAAATACTAGTCTTAGGTAAGCATAAATACAAAAAAAAAAAAAAAAGCTTTTATTTGCACTTGGTGAGGCCAGTCACTTAAATGGGCAGCACGGTGGCTGAGTGGATAGCACTCTCGCTTCTCAGCAAGAAGGTCCTGGGTTAGAATCCCAGTCAATTTGACTTGAGGGCAGCACAAGGGTTAAACCATGGAGAAGGGGCCTCAAGGATTTGAATGAATTTCGACCAACCAGGAAATTATTCATAAAAAGGAGTAAAAGAAAAACATAGTCAAGTACATGTCATTCCACTTGTGGTCTTAATGTGTTAATTGTTGGAACGTGACTAATACAGAGTTGCGATTTTCTTAACGCGGCCAGTATTTATGCTCTAATAATCTCGCTTGTTTCTCGTGTCTCTCAGACTTGATCCACTGCACCAACGAGCTGAACGTCAGCATCCCTCAGCTCGCCGACACGCTGCTGGAGCGGACGGCCACCAATAGTTGGATCGTGGTGTTCAAGGCCCTCATCACCACACACCACCTCATGATGTACGGCAACGAGGTGAGCACTTCTTCAATTCTATTCATATTTGTGAACGTAACCCTAAATCGCCACGGCAGTCGTCTCGGAGGACTTTAGAAAATTGACGATTCTGTCATGAGGTGAAAAGCAAAGGGAACCAAACTGCAAGACGTGCAAATAAAAGATTCAAGATTCAAGAATTTTTGCCATTTGCAGTAAAACCACATTGGAAAAACTGTGCAAGACTACCCCGGTGTGCATCAAGACTACCCCAACGTGCATCAAGACTAGCCCAGTGTGCGACCAAGACTACCCCAGTGTGCATCAAGACTACCCCAATGTGCATCAAGACTAGCCCAGTGTGCGACCAAGACTACCCCAATGTGCATCAAGACTACCCCAGTGTGCATCAAGACTACCCCAATGTGCATCAAGACTACCCCAATGTGCATCAAGACTACCCCAATGTGCATCAAGACTACCCCAGTGTGCATCAAGACTACCCCAGTGTGCACCAAGACTACCCCAGTGTGCACCAAAAGTGTAATTTGATAAATAAAACCAAATCCATGATAATAATCAACACCAACATCCAGACTAAAAGCAGGAACAAAACGCGGGCAACAAGTGTAAAAGCACAGGGTATAAATACACTCAGGGAGACACGCATTAGGGTGTGTACAGACAATCAACTGAACCAACATGTAAAAACAGAAAACTCAAAAGACCCAATACATTAAAAAAACAGGTAGAAGTAATTGAAAATTCCACATCAACAGATAAGAGTCAAACAAACACATAGGAGCCATTGGTCTAAACAGGTGAATCTTGAAAATGAACTAGGAAATGAATACAGTTTGTAATAAGTTCAGTTATTTCTGTAATTTCACCTAAATTCAAGTCAATTCAAATTGGCAACAGCGGCCGTCTCGGAGGACTTTACGAAGTTGTTGATTTGCCAACAACAAAAATTGTTACAAACAAATAACAAACACATAGAGCCTTTGGTACATAGGGAACGGGACCAATGTCTATAAATGTTAATAAATGTCTGTAAATGTCCTTAACTGTTCTTAGACTCTCCTGCATCAGAAAGGACCAACTCAAGAAATAAAACCAGTGCGTGGCGGGAAAAAAATAAACAAATATATGACATTGACTTAATACCTGCCAAGTCTTTGTTTATTATAATTCTGATGATTGTTGCTCAGTCCATTTTCATTATTCTAATTTTCTGAGATGTGATTACAAGCTGTCCGCCAATTATCATTATTATTACAAATAAAGGCTTGACATGTCTCACTTTGCAGGTAATGATTCTTTCACATTGTAAGTTAATTCACAGAATTAAATTGAGTTTTTAACAATACTATAATTTTTGGTATTTGGTGCAGCGGGGTGACCAATGTCTATTAAAGTACAATAAAAGTTCATAAATGTATCGTATCCTTAGACCCTCCTACTTCAGAATCACTCAAAAACCCATTGGGAGACAAAGAGAAACCTCATAAATTCCAACTGTAGTAAGGCGTACAATTAAGTTATGTTATTGAGGAGGGGTGGGAGGCAGGGCTGTTCCGAGTCTCACGGGGGCCTTTTGCCAGATGGTTCTTGAGCAGTGGGATGGGGTCCGTATTTGCCAAAGATTTTCATATCCTCCTAACTATTACAGTAATGTCCAAGTGACAATTTAAGGGCCGAGATAATCAGGGAAGAATAGATCTGCATTTAATTTAGGACCACTTTCCTTTGTGATGCGTTTTTATCTCGCTGATGGAGCCTATCCACAGCAGCCATCCTAACATTTTGATATAGAAAATAAATAAATAAATAATTCTTTGGCAATAAACGTTCATGTTACACTATATGATTGTTTTGTTGATAGATGTAATAGTCTGCCAACATGTTTGAAATTTGATCCTAGTTTGGCTATTTTCCTTAGATTTATACATTTACTTCCTGGTTGTTGACAGCCAGGGTTGTTACCTAGCAACCATCTTGTATATTGCACCTAAGTACAAAGCAATTACTTTGAGGAACTTGTTAAAGTGCCATAAAATGTGTTTTCTATAAATTGAGACAAACTTTAATTTAGAATAATGTATGTTTTTTATCAGTTATAGTTTATACATTTGAGTAATATACACAGAAGTAAAAATAGTAAGATTGTAAATTTCTCCTTTGTGAGACCAATAAAGTTGATCTTATCTCATATCACTGTGATCTACTTCCTGGACATTTTGACTGCCTATATTATTTTCTCGTCTTCATCAATGTAAAACTAGAGTTGATATCTAAACTACGCGTTGTTCCTCCAAAAAATAAAACAATATGAAATCCTAAAAATGATTAATATGCTGATCAACAAAACACTATGTTGATCTGTGAAATGATACTGTATTAGTCTGTTCACAACATTCATAAGAATATCATAATCCCCATTTTCACTTGCTTTTTTCCTTTTCAAACGCACCTCCATCAATCCCAGTTTTAGATGCATGTATTTGTCATTTTAGTATTTTGACATGTTTTTTAGGTCAGCCTCCTTCTCATCACTCTGCTTTTGGTACAATGGATCAATAGTACACACCCTTATAATCAGAGTGTCATCAAACAACATTGTCACTACTCTACTATCCGACAAGAGATCCTAAAAATAATGCTGGAAATCCTTTCATCCATCACCGGGGCCTGATGAAGAGCCCCCAGCTGACATTTCAATGGTCACTGAGACAAACACGCTAATGCTACTGTTCATTTATTTGAAAAATACAAGCCAAAATCAGAACACAGGAAGTAGATTATGTGTGTGCTCATTACCATACACCGTGGGTTCAATTCAAGTCACTATTTTATCAAAGCAGTGGCGCTGTCATTTAGCAAAAAAAGAGACTAATTATGATTATGAAGGGGAAAAAACAAGTGAAACTGGCTCAGGGATTTCTTACTGTTATCGTGAAATTCATGTTTCATTCAGCTTACTACAGATCCAACAGAAACTTATTTTTTACTTATTTCGAACCTGCACAATGCATATTTTTATGCATTGTACAATGTTATTTTAATTATTGGTTTTTTAAAGATGTAGGAGCAAAAATAACACAGTTCTACTTTTTTACATTTTACCTGTATGTTATATAATTCTGTTTTCTTTGCTTTTTTTCGCTTGCAAATGAAGCACTTGGGCAGCTGGTGTTGTTGTAAATGTACGCAAATGAAGTTGACATAGACATTGACCGATGGATCTTATGGAGTTAGTAAAGAAAAAAAGTGTGGTATACAGCATTTTTCTCTGGATTAAAGGCACCTCATTATTAATGTACTAATACAGTTTCAAAGGAAATTGAAATAATTAAAGTTACTGAGATGGGAGTTGAATGAACATTAACATTTGGAATTTAATTAGAGCAAGAGAGAATTAGCGCAGTGCATGCCTATAGAAGCCATAATACACTAAACTTGCTTTTGCACTCAGCTCTCTCTACGCCTTGCTCAATTTTAGTGATCATCTGCTTTCTCCTATAGACTAATTTTCCAGCCAGTTTTTTGCTAATCACATAGTGCACTTCTTCCTCAAATGTACTTAAGTCTGAGAGCATTTTACATTAGCTATGCCTCAGCTAAGATTTTTGAACAGCTATATTTACAGTTATTATTTCCACTGTCAAGTAATACATTATTGTATTGTTAATATTTCATCAAATGAGCATATCGTTCCAATACTAGTTCTAGAATTGATTACTATCCTTTTTTAATACCGCTCAATAGACAACTAGTAATAACTACATGTAAGTAAGTAAGTAATCTTTATTTATATACCGCCTTTCACAGACCAGGGTCACAAAGCGGTTTACAAATGTTATTCTTGGGCAATTGTCCTCTCACTCCACACAGAGACGGGAGCGAGGTCGCCAGTACAGGAGGCGCATGCCAGACCTATTGTACATATTTTTAGTGGTAGGGGAAACCGGAGTGCCCGGAGGAAACCTACGCAGATGAGGGTTTTTTGGTGCTTGGTATGAAGAATGGTTGCATGGAAACACAATGGTGACTTTGGATGCGTTTGTCTCCCCAAAAACATGTGAAATGGATTCATGGCTTATGAATAACTGTCTTAACTTAAAGCTGAAGTACATCACTTTGAAACATCGAAGCAGTAACTGTAACTACATAAACTGGTCTGGTTCCATCGCTAGTTTTCACATGACTGTATTTTTGGCCTCTGTCACTCAACCAATCAGCTCCCTATGAAAACTAAATGTTTTTTTTTCGAATAAGATACAAACAGACTGTTATGGTATTATTTATTCACCTACAGTAATGTTGCTTAAACAAATCCATCCATTTTCTTCCGCTTCATCCGTTGCCTGGTCGCGGGGGAAGACTAAATTGTAATCTCTGTCTGATCATGTATATTCATGTATGGATCTACTTTCATTTTACTATTATACAACAACCTGCTCAGGGGTTTCAGGTGTAAATTAGCGCTGCTGCTATAACCTGGTACAATTCTCTCCTTTTGGCTAATGTACACTGCCCCTGTTAATATAAAAAATAAAAAATCATACTTACCATACCCAGACTTTCTCTTAGGAAAACTACACATAGCTAAAAAAAAGTTACTCAAGCTTTAATCCTGCTTATGTATATACACAAAAACCAAATAATGAGAAATGTCACTCCCAACACCATTACAACTTCAAACATACCTTTTTTCTGCACGAAGAGTAGATTGCCGCTGTATTTGCTTTTGCTTACAGTAACGAGAGCAGCCCAGACTCAGCAAAAACCCGCCTGTCTCTGCCTCCCACAGACTATCAATGACCCGTTCTCCTCAGCTCTGCCCAGTTCATCAGTGCAGACATGCCGCGGCCCTGTCAGACAAGCTCCTCCAATAATCACTAACTTTGTCCTTTTCTGTTTCCCCTTCAGAGATTGATGCAGTACGTAGCCTCGAGAAACACGCTCTTCAACCTCAACAACTTTCTGGATAAGGCCGCACTACAAGGTGATTTAATGTCGTCTGGCTGTTTGTGTAGTCAGCACTGTACGCCGCACACACAACGACTATATGTCCCTCTCTCTTTGGCTCCGGACGCACCGTCGATACGAAGCCTCTTTTAGGGTTCAAACCTCTACGTAAGATGCAATTGAACATAGTGGACACATTTTTAAGAGAATATTTATGAGCGTATATCTCATCGTGATTTATCATGAAGATCAGGTTGAATTGGAGAAAACGTGAGTCTGAAATGTTTTTGCTTTGAAAAACAAAACAGGTATCTCATATATGGGGCTGTTGTTAAAAAGGCTTTTGTATACTTTGATCCTTCTACATGGAACGTGTTACAAAAAGACTGGAAATTAAAGGTATAGGAGGATTTTCCCCAATTTCAGGAAAGAACTGCCCTCTCCACTTTTTGAACCAAGCTCTCTGGTCTTATTTGATGAGCACGTATCACCAGGGAGGACCAATAGTGTTGATGATCCACTCGGAAGTAGAAAATCCTCCTATGTACCTTTAAGTGAACTTATTTCGATAGAATCTTTTAAGTCCAGATTGAGAGCACTTGAGACATCCTCATTGACATGTAACTGATTTTATAATCTATAATTGCATGTAACTGTGTTTAATGTTGTCCAGGACTCCCTTGAAAAATTTGTTCTTAATCTCAATGGGACTTTCCTGGTTAAATAAAGGTTAAATACAATTTAAAGAAAAAATCTCAAGCTGTGATATACCTAATAACCACACAAATATTTATGCAATTAAATCCATCCGACCTTTCCTCTCAAAACAGTTTGGTTCAATCACTATGTATTTCTAGCGCCTAACACATTTTTAGATCAGATTTTTCAGCGAGAAAAGTGAAAAAGAGAGAACCAGCACCATCTCTCAGCCAAAAGTGTCAAATCAGGTCCTCCTTCTTACTAAGTAGGCAAAGTACATACTGTGTACATACTGTGCATACATGTTGTAGTCCGATTTTTGAGGGCCAAAATCTATCCAGACCATTTCTGTGCCTTTGGAATTGAGATCAGAAAGACTATTTTGGGGTTGTCTGATTTTCTATGTAATACACTTTGTTAAGAATTACTTTGCATTGTTAATAAAGTTTGTTTCATTTTTGTATCATGGTGGTGTGCCATGTGATTGTTTTAAATGAAGAAGCTGTGCCACATCTCAAAATGTTTGTAGGACACTGAATTAGACCACAGCATGTTGGATTTAAATGTAAATATAACTAGATGTGATATCTCAATTCTACCCTTTGATGGCAGATCCATATGACTTGTCTATAGATACATTTTCCAAATTTCTCCGGACAATGGACAAAATGGACACACAAAATGATGAATATAGCTCTGTAAATGGCAGCACATATTGTTTATTTGGCTTAAAGCACTCCCTTTCATCTCTCTATCGATGAATATTTGCATCTACCATATATTCTATTAGTAATATGTGTTAAATTATGCACTGTACAGGTGTAGGTGCATGTGTAATGTTCCAATATGGCTTTGAAGAATATTATGCGTGTGTATTAATTAATATACATTTGTCACACAGGTTACAACATGTCCACTTTCATCAGACGCTACAGCCGGTACCTGAATGAAAAAGCCATGTCCTATAGACTAGCAGCAGTGGACTTCACCAAAATGAAGAGAGGGTGAGTAAGACCAAAACATATGACTCAGAGAAGCTAAAAAACCCCCGAAATAATAGTCATCTGAAAAGCGCTTTCACAGAACAGGGTCAGACACAAGAAGGGTTTAGAATTTTGTATATTGCTAAATAAGTGGGGGAACTATTGAGTTGAGTTGGTAGAAAACGATTAGCTTGCACTCTCTGTTTCAGGCTAAAGCTAACGTTAGCAGTAAACAAAAAACACGTCTGCTTTATTCAGTATTCTTAGATACATCATGACCATTTTTTACAGCACTTCTCTGTCTTCTCTTTTGTTTAGTTTGTTTTTCTCTTTAGTTAGCAAGTATAGGCAGTCTGTACGATCAGAATGGACAGTGCTAACCTGCTAGCTTCATGAAACCTAATAGACAAGTGCTCATGGACAAAGTTTGCTTCCATGGTTTAGCTAATGCTCTCTATGACCCTGGTGTTTTTATTTGGACTATGTCTTTGTAAATCAAGTTATGACCTACATAACTTTAACCTCCTGTCCTCAAATTCACGAGCGAGTAGTGCACCTGGAAACAGACCATTGCCTCTCCTGATTGGCTCGTTGGTTGCTAGGTTGTTGCTCCCCTGGAATTAGTCTTCCGATTCCCACCCATGGAACTGGCTTGACTTAGCTCTAATGGACTTCTTTCGCAATAAGGCAAACACTATGGGTGATGAGAGAGGTCAATTAACAAAACAGCAGTTAGCATAAAGTTAGCATAAAGATAGCATAAAGTTAGCATAATGTTAGCGTAACATTAGCTTACCTTATCAATGCAAGACGATTCATGCTTGTATTTCATGTCCTATATATAGTGTTTTAGAGTTTATATAGTGTTTTATTTCTGCAAAACTGAACAACATAAACAAGAAAAGAAGCCAAGAAAAAAAATATGTGTTTTATTAGCAGCTTTTACCCCAAAAATGAGAAATGAACGAGACCCTTCAACACAGTATATGAAGCGGACATTCTCATTTGCTTGAGTTAATAAGGATTTGCCCCTTGGTTGAGAGGGTTGCATAAAGGTGAGTTACATGGAGGGTGCATAAATTGTTTTAATTACATGTAAAGCCATTTACCGGGCAGTAACGCAGACAGGACTGACTTATACCAAGGTTAAAGAGCTGAGGTTAATCCCCAGCTTGTCATCGATCTTCTACAGTATATGGAAAGTGTATTTTTAATTAACCAGAGATGAACTATTAATCATGATATTGATCTTACGTCATATCACCTGGCACAATTATCTGCTGCAGGTAAAACAGCATAATTTATCTAATAAAAGTGAAATGCTTCCATATATGTGACAGCCATTAATTAACTGTCATCTTGTAGAACAGAAAACAAAAACTTCTTCTCTAACTTTCTGGAGGTTGAGACTGATGCAAAACTTTGAGTATGGTGAGTGCTTAAAAAAAAAAGAAAAGCAAAATCTATAGTTCTTAATCACAATCCTCTGTTCTGTGCAACTCCACACCTTCAATTATATCAAGTATCTTATAAAATCAAAATGCAGTTTGCCACTTCTACCACTAGTCGGGAGAAAATGTCCATACAGCTCAATGACTCTCTCCATGAACTCTCTGTTTCCTCAACAACAATAGAACATATTTATATAAACCTGATAAAATAAACAATTCAATACGTAGAATGCTTTCCAATACAAAAATATGGCACCAGAGTGTTCAATTTGGCAAACGTACAATTTTTGATGCCTAATATTTACAACTGTTTTTTTTCCCAAATTCAGTTCTGACACAAACAATTTTCAAAAGCAAATGGTCGTGTCATACTGTGTTCTAACAGCAGGCGTCCCAGAACATGTTCATATATAATCATCTTCATATTTTCTTCATATTTCTAGGGGGCAGATTTTTCTGAGCTCCATGGCGTCTGTTTTGATTCCACTTTTAACATAATAGGTCGCATTCATGTGATATCACACCCTTACTGTAACATTGTGATGGAGGAGGGCTGAAAAATCTTTCTTGGTAACAATGGAAACAGTCAAAAGTCAAATGAAACTAGTTTTAGATTAGAGCTAATTTCTCTGTAATCCTTGGGCCAACAAACAACATACTCAAAGTTCCACATCATTTATTAATACAGGTGTCTGAATAGACTGCAGCGCTTCTTGTGTACGAGTCTCTATTTGGCCTCGCACCAAAGTAACATGTTAGTGCTGATGGTTCCAAGAGTCAGAACTAAACATGGGGAGGCAGTGTTTCAGATTTATGCAGCTAAAATCTAGAAACATTCTTCCTGAGGTTTTTAATTAGTTGTGATTTTCTTCTGTTTTTAATTTTACTTTTGTGTTTTTTATGTATATGTAGATTTTAATGTTTATGATTTGCTTGATGTGATGTGGGTTGTGAGGCGCTTTGTGTTGCCTTGTGTAAGAAAGGCAACACAAACAAATAAAAGTTGATTGATTGATTGTCTAGAGGTGGTAATTATATTAAAAAAATCGTATGTAAAATATCTTTCTGTCATAACTTTTCTCAGGTTTGTGAATCAAATAATGATCCAGGAAAACATTTGGCCGTTTTCTTTTTCAGCAATTCTTCATAAAAAGGCTTCTTTCTCATTGTGTTGGTACCTCGCCACATACTGAAATACAGTACAATTCCACAAGATGAACGCAACCTACTGCAGTAACACCCAATCTCTGTAAATGATGATTGGTTGACAACATAAAGAAACACCTTTTTGTCCTCATATTTGAAACGAAGCCCGGACTAATGGACAAAACATGGACAAAACAAGAAAACTACTACAACAACATGAACACAACTCTTGAACACCCATTCTCCTTAAATGCTGATTTGTTGACATCTACTAGGTTTATGTGAAGAACTACCTCTAAAAACCTTCATCCTCTTTGAAATGAACCCAGGATAAAACAAGAACACACACATACACATTTAGTATTCAGGAGACAGGCCGTAGGAACAGAGACTGCTTGGAGTGCTGCATGTAGAATTCTCCAAACCCTGTTATAGTGACATGGCGTGTATCCAATGTGTTTCCTGTCTGTATTCCGCCCGCGTCCTGAGCCTTGTTTGGGTGTGTTGTTTAGTGCCGACGGCGTGATGCGCACCATGAACACGGAGAAGCTGATTAAGACGCTGCCCATCATTCAGACACAGCTGGACGCTCTGCTGGATTTCCAGGTAAAACGTTTGATTGCACACGGCACACATTAGATCGCACAATAACCGGGCCCAGCAAAAACACACAAAAAAAATATATATATCTCACACATCGGGGGCTCAAAGCAGTTTCTGATTACAGCCAAATTCAAACGAGCTGACCAACGGAGTGATCAACACCGCCTTCATGCTGCTGTTCAAAGACTCCATACGGTTATTTGCAGCCTACAATGAAGGGGTCATCAACATGCTGGGTAAGAACAGACATCCAATCAGCTTTTGCCGTTAAGTAAGTATTATTGTAGTCATCGTATAGTATAGTGTATGTAAAGCTTTTATGTAGAATACTGTTTGTGTAATGTGAATCATTGTGCTTTATCAACTCATTTGCTACCTGTAGTTTGTTCAGTGCAGTTCTGTTTAGCGGTGCTTACATAGTTGAAGGGCTTTATCTTTATCTTGACTGTTTTTAATGCACAGTGATTGTTTATGATTTGAATGCCTTGTGTATGTCTTGTTTTTTTTTCTCAGCACTTTGCTTTGCCTTGAGTTTGAATTGTGGGTGGGAAAGGACTCCAGAAACAGTAGTTCAATTCGGTTTCTATTCAATTTATTTTTGTGTAGACCTAAATCACAAAAGTATGGTTATCTTGGAAGACTGTGGATTCACCAACCACAGAAATTCGTCCATGGGGAGAATGATGACCAATTTATATAAATGTTAATAAATGTCCTTAAAAGGTCCTTAAAAGTCCCGGATTACTGTCCTCAGCCTTTCCTGCAACGGCAAGGAACGAGCTAGCATCAAACTAGGATCAGATCATACCAGCCATTTTTCAACTGCAGAATAAATACTACTATATTATAAATAAAACTACAAATAAATACAATTATAACCAGGAGAAAAGTCATAAATAACCTGGAGAGAATACATATTTTGAATGATGGTGAGGTGGACGAGGTTTTGGCCTCTCGTCTGAGCACTCAGTCTCCAGCCTGCACTAAGTTTGCCTCTTTAACCCAGTCTTTACACGCTTAACAGAAATCGCTCGCACTCCATTCCACTTCCTCCTTAAGAAGAAATCAATTGGCTTCTGGACTCTCAAATCTAAATGAAAGACTAGAGACGGACTCCCTTTTTCTTTCAGTTAATTATTAAACCAATGATGTAAGACCAGCGCCTGCTCAACTGTGAAGCCTTTTAAAAGATTTATCACAAAATTGACGTGATCGACAGACTGAATGAAGAAACTGGTCTTTTCTGGTTTTTAACTGCATTTATGAGTCAGTCCATAGCGTCATTAGATCTCACTGAACTTTACTTTAATGCATTTTTAAAGACATTGCCGCAATATCACATAGAAGCACAGATCAGAGCAGATAAAAGAGAGGTTAGTGTTTTGTAAAAGCAGAAGTCTGAAATAAAGCAGTGCATAGAATATACTTTTTGACACTAGATAATAACAGTTTCGCTAAAAGTGCATTTTCTGGCAGAGGATACACTCTTGTCTCCACAGATATTTTATTTTGTCTGGAATGCTGAACTGAATGGCACTAAAGGGGACGTACAGTGACGTGCAATATCGGCGTTCACAGCTTTCCATCACTCCATAGTTGTTTTGATTTGACATTTATACACCAAAAGATTTTTAGAGAACTCAATGTTTGAGTGATTACAAAGAAGGAGGAAACGTAATTGGGGTTTGTCTGTCTGTTTGTGAGCGACATCATATAGTAATGGCTAGATATTTACAACCTGGGACAAGGAGCAAAATTATGACTTGTACATTTTGGAGGTAATCCACTGTTTGGATCCAGGAATGGAACTTCTTGGTGGAGGCCTGCGCTCTACGAGTGCTTTTCAAGTTTATATACAGTGTAAACCCGAAAACAATGGCGTCTTTGGTTGTAAGAGATCGCCACTGCAATAGCCACACTTTTTTACCTACTTTGTTTTCCCATTTTATGTTATAATTCAGTCTTAATTGAATGATTGTCATTTCTATCCAAAGAAAAAAAATCACAACACTGATCGCTAACTTCAGCTGCGAACTGAATGACAGGCATGTTACTGTATGTCTTAAATAATAATACTGTAAATAATTTTAATGACAGGCAGTGGAACATTCCAGGAATCAATCAATCAACTTTTACTTGTTGAGCGCCTTTCCTACACAAGGCAACACAAAATGCCTCACAACCCGCATAACATCAGGCATAAATCCTAAACATTAAAAGTATACATTATTAATATGATTTTAAACAAACATTAAGATCACAAGAAATAATAAAAACATAGAAAATAAAATCACACGTGTAATTGAAAAGGTAGGGCTGTAAGATTCGAATACAAATTTGATAATCACTACTTAGTTTGTTTGGTTCTGCTATTCCAGACTATTGTAAGACAGTGATGTAATTATACCTTCAAATTGTCTGGTATTCATTTTATTAATTTTGTGGCCTTTTTTCATGATAAAGCAACAAAATATCACAATAATAAAAAGAAGAACAGGAGAAGGTGAAGGAAAAAAATCAAAGGTGTAGGTTTTGGAAGATTCATCGTGTCTTTTTAGTAGATTGAGAGCTGGCTGAGTGAGGGTGGTCTTTTTTTTTATTTGAAAAAGCTGATCTAAACATGTGACATTAGACCAAAAATTCAAGCGTGTGACAACTAGTGATAGTAGAACTGTTTTGAGAGTAAGGAACTTTAACCATTAAGAAGAAGCCAAGTGCACCCCTGTTTCACACTCCTCTAAACTGTATCATCCTCTCTTCTCTTTATACTCTGCATGATTCTAACACTTGAACTGTGCTTTTTCCCTCCTTGACAGAGAAATACTTTGACATGAAGAAGAACCAGTGTAAAGAGGCCTTGGAGATCTACAAGACCTTCCTGAACAGGATGACCAAACTGTCCGAGTTCCTCAAAGTTGCCGAGGTAACGCTTGTTTGTCCCAGTGGCCACAAACCAAGCGATACGTACACCATACACACACGCTGACGTGGTCTGAGGCTAATCTAAGGCGAATTAGATGGATTTGAATGAGAAAAAATTGTGTTGAGAATAGCCTCAGACCATCCACATCTCCTCAAGTCAGTACGAAACAACTGAATGCCACTTTGGAAGTTTGTTTTTGAAATATTTAGATAGAGCTGGGCGATATGACCAAGATATTATAGATTTTCACCGTTTACTATTTGACTATTTGGTACATGTTCACTTTATAGTAAAATTGTGTTTGGCCATCAATAACACATCAAAGTAAGTATATTACATAACTTAACCTAAATTCTCCTCAATTTTTCTGGAATAGGGTTCAGCAACTGCTCGTCTCAATGGATATGGTATTAGAATATTTAAACCTCTTTTTGGATACATTCATCGTTTATAAATGTAATGGAGCTGGCTGAGTAATAACCATACAGAGACAAGCAGATCCCAAAATACATAGTTTAGATTTAAGGAAATATACTTCTGCCAAATCGACTGACGGCATTGAAATATATTCTGAATAGAGCTAAGAAAATTCTTGCAAAATTCTTGCAAAAAAGATTTGTACATGTTTCTGTTCAACTGAGCTGAAAAAATTAATTGATTTCCCCCTGAAGTCCTCCTCCCACCTACGTTCTGTCTGTTAATTGTTTTTTTAATCTATTCCCAGTTTTAGATTGATTCATACACGTTTGAGTTTTATTTATCTTTATGGATTTGAGAATTCATTACCCCAACAGTCCATGTTTACACTGGCACCAGAGCACGCCCACTGTTCCTTGCTTTACTTAATTGATTTTTGATCAAAAATACTGCTGTGAAAATTGTTCGTCACTATGTTTTTATGATATTCCCGGTGGCGTTGTGCAGTGCAGTCTGTTTTTAATTAGTGGTTTCAGATCAATGTTGAAAATACACAATCATCCATGGGTGTCTAGTGTCATAGCTACACTCAGAGAAGGAGACATATGTATAACAAATCTAGCTTTGAGCTTTAAACAATGTTTCAAAATTGTTCCCGTGTAAAAAAACAGACCTGGAGTTGTCTTTAGATCCAGCCACGCTCATATTAATCAACCTTTAATTGTAGAGCTACACAAAGTGCTTCACAACCCATAAAACATTAGGCATAAATCATAAACATTAAAATATTATTAAAATCCCACAGAGCAAACATAAACGTCTCGGGGATATTAAGAACATAACAGTTTCACACACACAGGTTTAAACACATTCAAACATTAAAATTAAACATCACATAAACATTAAAAATCATAAACAGCCACTGTACATTAAAAAGTAAGGATAAAATCGCTCAGTTCTAGTTGAAAACTACCAGAATAGACAGACACCTGTCTCACATTTTCAGGAAGATTGTTCCAGATTATGTCAAAATATCAAGTACATAAACTCTACTCTATCACAATATTAACCGCTACATAAACCGCAGATTTACACAAAAAAAAGTAGAAAGAAGTAGCAGCTTATAGTCCAGCAGTCACGGTGACTTAAAGCATTGGCGTCTTTGTTTAAGGAGAATATAAATTACTCAAACAAGCATTAATCAGTGTCAAATGAAGTGTGTAGATGACAAGCGAGAACCAGTATAACATTCTCAGAAGCTGTGAAAGTCGATTCTGCATCTTGTGTTCCCTTAAAGCGTAAAACTGGTCCGTCACAATCATCTCTGAGATAAAAACATCTTTATGACGCAGTAAATATCGCCCAGCTCTATTCAATTTATATATTTTTTTATTACATGTTACATTCTCCTTCTCCTGTCCTTCTCTGGCCCTATCCTGGGGACGTTTTCAGTCCCACATATAGATCAGTATCAGCTCCTCTGTGCTGAAACTGTCGCCATTTTTCAGATTTGCGGGACTTTTCATGCTGCCTGTTCACTTTGCCTGCACTGCATGCCTAAAGCGAGCTCTCTCTCTTTCTCCCTATCTCTGTCCCTCTTTGATTCTCTACTTCCTCCTGCTCTTTGATAAAAAACATCCCAGTCCTCGGTTATATAGGCAAGTTGAATTTAAACAGTTGTGTGCTCTGTAGATATATAGCCTTTCTAACTTTCTGCTTGGTTTCCCCATTTTTTCTTTGAAAAGGTTTGGGGTGCAGCCGCTCGATAAGACCGTCCATTTAAATAAAAATCTATTTAAACTAAAGGAGAAAAAAAGTGAAAACCGCAACTAAGGCTAACGTTGACTTTAAGGACCCATTATCATTATATCTGTCTAACAATGTGCGTTTGTCTGTTTGTGTCATCCCCTCCAACCTATTTTTTATGTTCAAAGTCAACATTAGTACTTGAGTGTCTTCCTTTTTTTGTGGATCTGCCGGGTCCTGTGTCATGTGAACCGCTGTCTGGCCGGCCTGTTTTCTGATTGGCTCTCATTTCTCTCCAGGTGTCCCTTTGTGTATGTTTTTTAACACAGTGTTTATATATATTTCAGTGTCTGCATGTCTCCCCCAACTCCTCTCCTCTCCCCCCTCAATATGTCTTTACGTCTTTCGTTCCCTTTCCACACTGCATGAAATAACCAAATGCTTGAGTTTGATCTTTCTCCCTCCTCTTCCTCCTCCTCCTTCACATGCCTTTCTCTCTTACCCCTTTTCCAATTCAGTGCGCTTTTCAGTTTCTTTACGTTTACTATTATTTCGTTATTATTTCATTTTGCCTAACCCCTCCCTCCTCCTCCCCCCCTCCCCTTTTGTGAAACAGCGAGTTGGAATAGATCAGGGTGACTACCTTGATCTCGCACAGGTCAGTTCACATCTCATCTCAATCACAGCCAATCACTTTTAACCCTTTCGACCCCGCCCTCTTCCTCCAGTCCCATAACGCTTCACTGTAGACGCTCCGTTCCCTACTCACCCTACAGACATGGCCGCCCTCTCTTCAATCATCCAAATAGCCATTAGATCCATCCTTAGATAACCTATAAACGATTATGTAGTTGTGACTCGCGTGGGAGATTAGCCAATAAGACATATCTGACCAGAGACAGCGATGTATTTTTAGTAACTGTAAAAAATTTAGAGACATGTGTTTTAAAAAGGCAGTTTTAATACCTATATTAATGTATTATAATGTTAATTTAGCATGTATAATATTCACTATATATACTGAACATATCTAAAACATGGGAAAAAATATGATAATAAATACAAATGTTTCTACATAGACCATTTTCCTCTGTATTGATTTGAGTTCACTTCTCTTGAAAGAGATTTGTCATGGATTTATAGGCCTGTCACATGAATTACTCTATGAACTGTGCAAAATTGTTCAATAAGAGATAGGTGGAGTAATATTTATGGGAGTATCACTAAAATACAAAATGACCGTATGATTTTTTTTCTCACTGAAACAACGAATTGTCTCATTTTGATGTGGAAGACTCTGTATTTTGATTACACATTACCTACATTTGCCTTAGATTATTGAGTAAATTCATTTGAACATTACTGCATATCATCTATACCAGCGATTCCCAACTTTTTTAATCCGTGGCACACTTTTTATTTGAAAGAAAAAACAGAAATAGCAGAATCTGAAACGAAAAGGAAACCCTTTAGGCTCCAAAGTAGCAGAATTGCTTCACAGACTTCTAAATCCAGGACACTTTCTATACAGCAACTTCCCACAAATGTCTTCTTACATTTTTTTTACATTTTTTCTTCTATGTATATCCAGTATTGATTCAAGTAGTCACAATCTCTTATCAAGTTACAGTGTGTCATTGTCTAAGTCACATTACAATTCTCAAAAAAATGTTTGGCGCCTAAAGGATTTTACAATAAACAGTCAAAATATCAAAGTGTTTTATATAGAAAATCAAACAAGCTCAAGCTGACATTATTTTCTTTTCACGTTATTTCTACCGATGAGGTGATATTGGATCATTTCCAAAGGCATACCAGAATAAATTAATGTAATCTAATCTAATATAAGAACCACGGCCCACAGACTTCAAAAGTTGATATTGTGACAGGTCTATGGATTCAAATCAGAACATCTGTCTATGGTCTCAATTTCAGAGTAAAACTTATTTCCTTGTCAACTTTTATGATAAACTAGAGGACATTTATTCTCCATTAGATGACATTATGCTTGTCTGTCTCAGAACAAATTTAAAGTGACATTTATGAAGTCAGATTACAAAACTTTTCCTTCATGTTCCTATTTTAGCTCTTTAAGAACGCAGGCTTAGTCTGTCGGCATTTGCGTAAACAGACATAACAGCGTGTCTCTTGATATTTAGAGCTTATCGCACAAAAGTAGTCAGCGCAGCCTCATAATACAGGTTTCCTCCCTCGTAAGCAGTGTTCAAATCACGTCCCTGAAAAGATTAAGTCCTTTTGCATTAGCTGTGGGGAGAGCAGCGAATGGTTTGATCAAATAGGTTTCTGCAAAAACGACTTGGCTAGGTGTGCATAATGCCATCAGGAGTACTGCAAATCATGCCCAAATCCTCGCAGACATTTTGGAGATACGTTTTTTATAATTGGCAATGACTTGACGAATTAAATCACCTTATTTTCTTTTACATTTATAACTCATGTTTGCAGTTCTCATGAAGCCCTTATTTGCTCCTATTCAACCAATGCCTTTACTGAGCTGTAGATCTGTGTCTGTTTTACTTTAACTTGTAGCATATTTCTCTGAAGAAGGAAACCCTGAAATTTACTCTCTGTCCCCTCGTTAAATAAGTATACGAGAAATCTTTCTTTGCTTGTTGTGGTTTTGCGCTGTGAGTTGGGTTTTTCACCAGAACGTGAAGCTGTGTGTGTGAAGACACCACAGCTTTGCGATTCCAGAGTTAACCACCCAGGAGTCCTCAGGAGATGGCCGCACTGGGAGAAGGTCCACTGCTCTGCTCCTATGGATGTTTTACTATAATATATCTATATATTATATATAAAGTGGATCACAGGGGACAAACACAAGGCCCACGAGCCAAATGCGGCCCGCCAGACCATTTTTAGTGGCCCCTAAAATAATCTTCAATTACTACTGTTAACTTGCTGCATTGATGGTAAAGGCAATATGAGCTACCATGGCGCGTTATACCTGATTTTAAACCTTATCAATTATGTCGTATCATGTATTCTTGAAATTTGAATCAAAGACGCAATTATAAATTCTATTATACATACATAAGTTGCCAATCCTTTAATTTTGATATGGTTTAATTTTGATACACGGCAATAAAAAGGATTCTGATTTGGATTCAATTCAAGCTTACAGAAATTGATATATTCATTCAAAATGGTTCATTTTGTCATGAGTTAAAATGCTTTTTGTGGTTCTTTTGAAAGACAAGTTTAGGCTTATTTTAACATGGAATAAGGAAAACGGAAATACATCTAAACTTGTCTTTCAAAAGAACCACAAAAATCAACCAGAAAATAGTGTCAAAACTCAGGGAGAATGTAGAAATCAAGCAACTTCTAAAATAATGTGTCATATTTTAGGTGCAAGTCTGTTAGGGAGGGTGGTTCCAGCCTATTCTTCAATATGAAAATGTGAATAGAAGACAAAAACATTGTTTCAAACCAATTTGTTTCTTGGTCATGAGTTTTATTACAAAATATCCATCAGACACTTTTTTGTTATTATTCACTCAGTATTTAGGGAACATAGTTATTCTCAATTGGATTTTTATTTTCGAATTAAAACAAATTGATCCATATTTCATAAGAAGAAAAAAATATATAAAATATATAGTCAATGTATTCAATTCATACATATAGTCATTAGTTTATAGGGCATAAATGTTGATAAATGCCCATAAAAGTCCTGATCATCGCTGTACTGAGACCCTCCCGCTTCGGCAACATGTTAAATGATAATAATAAATGGTAATAAAATAACCAAAGTCCATGCTTTGAAACTCAAAAAACCCCAAAACCCGATTGAAATACAATGGAACCACATGCTACCACAAAAAGCTATTATCAAAAAGATAACGAAGTCATCTTTGTGCTACTGAAATCTGAATCATGCCATTTGAGCATTGTTAAAAGTCTGCAGATTTGGGCCATTAGGTAAATTGGAAAGAGAAAAACCACGGACATGAAAGGCAGAATATTGGACCTTTGAAGCCAGTCCAAACTCCCCACTTGTCTCGAATCATAAGAGGCTCCTTTGGGTTTGTGTTAACTCCGGTTTTTTCCTGATTTGTTGTGACCAGTGTGTGCATCCGTGAGATCGTCTGCTGAACTCTGCATGCAGCTCACCGATAGTTCCACGTTGTTTTATTCAAGCGAAAAAACAACGGCTTTTTTCTTGTTTGTTACTTGTCGAACTCGCTCGCATGATTCAAGGCTGATTTGTGCATGCTCAACCAAACCTGATGAAACCAAACAAAACAACAAAAAAACAACAGAAAAAAAAAAAAAACACGAAGCGAGATCAGTGAACGAAGACGAACGGGTGAAGTCTCTGTCTTAACTGCTGCTGCTTGTGTGTGCTGAAGATGGATAGATGGTGGATAGATATGGAAAGGTTACCTGGACTTGATATTATCCAGTTATGACCCCTCATTTTTGACACGGTTTCAGGCGCCCAATTCACTGCTCGAAGCGTTAGAGCAGCATTTGGCCTCTCTGGACGGCAGGAAGCTGAAGGATCTCTCCATCGCCAGCAGGTACACACACAACCTGGACTGTGGGATTATACATATACAGGGTTTATACAAGCCCAAGTGGAGTGTAAGGTGAACTGCTTAAGCCAGGGGTCTCCAACCTTTTTCGATTGGAACAGTAATTGGCAGAGAGCTACTCCTTTAGAAGTTGTAATAAATCTGTAGTCTTTAATATCTATAGGCAAACATGGAGAACACACATAACATCATCATTCTGGACAGTATCCCTACATTAATGAACAGATTTATAGTTGGGCAAGAAGGTCGTTGGTTCGAATCCTGGTCGGAACAGGGCCAAGTCATCTTTGTGCTACTGAAATCGGAATCATTTGAGCATTGTTAAAAGTCTGCAGATTTGGGCCATTAGGTAAATTGGAAAGAGAAAAACCACAGACATGAAAGGCAGAATGTTGGACGGTGTTGATGCGCCAGTGTGTTCGGCGACTCGCTTCCGTCATCACCGTGTGTGGAATAATTGGAACAACATCTGAACTCTGAACATTGTAAAGTGCTTTTGGTGACCTTGGTCTGTAAAATGTGCTATATAAATAAACATTACTTACTTACTTACTTAAAATAAACATGACTGAAAAGTTAATCATTCAGGATCATGTGTTGAAATCTCGGATCCTTTGGGGAGCTACTGGTCCCGAGCCACAGGTTGGAGACCCCTGGCTTAACACTTCTGATTCCTGCTTGTTGGCATAATTGCTTTCTTTGGAATTAACTGTATAAGGGCCAAACTCAGGCCAATTGCGGCCCTCTGTGTCAATTTAAGTGGTCCATTGCCTCGCTATCACAACACAGTCTCATAAACACAAGCTTACAGTGTCATCCAACCAACTTCAGCCAATACAGACATGCTACTGTATACCACGTTGAACCGCTCTAGAATCCAGCCGTTGACTTTTGTTTTGTTTTTAACTGTGTCACATACAATATTGACGGCGCTAATGTGAGATGGTAAACGTTTGTCATTCAGCCAACTTCAGTTCTGTCAAATGTGAATAAATAAGGACATGCCATAGTTGATTTTAAAGCCCAGAACTGTCCTAATCCAGTCAAAAATAGTTTTAGTATCTGGTTCGCCGGCCCTTGGACCGGCTATAGTGGCCATCTTAGTCACACGTTTGGACACCCCTGGTATTAAGTGTATTTCTTGCCCCCTAAAGGTGCAGGTGTGGAAATTCAATTGTATTTAATTTTGAATCTATTTGATTGTTTGCATACTTATAAGAAAGAGCTCTGAGAGTAACTTCATGAGATTTTGTATGAGAGACCTGACAGAAGCTGCAACACTTAGAACTACTGATAGAACCCAACTGTTTGGAACTAGTTTGATTACATAGTCCAATTATTAGTGCTGTGAAAGTTACACTTAAAAAAAGGCTCAACTTAGAGGTAGTACTTATTAAATCAAGTGTTTTTTATCATAGTCTGGGCACATTCTGGCTGTATTAAAACAAGATTTTCCAATGAGACAAAGCCATTTGGTCTTTTTTAAAACAAGATCATTTTCCGAGTTGTATTGGCAAAGCTTCTAATGCAGTTAAAATATGCTCAAATTAAGAATATTTTTTGCCAAATTTGTGCAATTTTTGACTTATTTTTCATCATTTTTTGCAATGTACTTTTCAAGAAAGAGCCCTGAGAGTAACTATACAACATTTTGTGTGAGACGTGATTGGCTGAGCAACAGTGGTCAACAATAGGACAAAGCCATTTAATCTTATTTCAAGAACTGTTGCCTTTTTATTTCTATTTCCAACTGAGACATTCCTTGCATCTTTTTAAAACAACATATTTTTGCTTTTCTCATTGGTGCCAAATCTTTAGCAATTTCTGACATATTTTTCATGACTTTTTGCAGTGTAGCTACCCCTACTTGTAAAAATCTGACTTGTTTTTCCACTCGAACTATTCCAGAAATTAGTTTAGGGCGTAATCTTCTCGTCAAAATTCACGCTGCAGAATCTCAGGTGCACTTTCATCTGATGTCAAGCGCAGAAGTCAGACACCAGCGCTGTCGTGCGGCTTCCAACAGGACGACGAAGAGAGACACGCACTTCTATCTGTTACTTGGCAACTGAGACAGAACCACCTGTGCGTGCTTCTTAAAACAGTTACATAAACAGGTGTAGGTGGGCGATAATTGCAAAAGAAATATTTTTTGGTGTTTGAGCAGAAAAAACATGATCGGAATCTAACAGAAATGTGCTGAAAGGTTTTGGTTTTGTGATAAAGTAATGCAGTAAGTGATAAAAAAGTTTAATTAAGTGCCCTCGTTTGAAGGATTGCGTTACAAGTTTTTAATATACTTACAGCTATTTGAACAAAAAAACAAAAGACACTTAAATATCTTTCTCCTTTATTATTCCACTGAAGCTGATCCACATAAAATCAAATTTGGTCCTTTTGGCCTTGGTCCAAAACCATTAATTGTGTCTTATTTTATTAAACTCACTGTGACATTTTTGACCTTCGCTTCAAATAACAGATTGTTCTACACTCAGTCCTGCCCTTTTCGGTTCTGTCCAGATTTAAAGCTCAGGTACGTAACTTTAAAAACACAACCATTTTGGACATATTCAAATTAATTCAACTGGTTTGGTTCTATCACATTTTTTACCTTTGTCACATTTTTAAACAGAAAAGTCAAAAAGAGGCAACCACCGTCTCTCAGCCAATCAGCTCTCAGCCAATCAGCTCTCCAATTGTGACTCACTGGGTTCATAGTATGCAAAGAATGACATGTTTTAGGGCAATACGATATTATCTTATTGGTTGGATTGGTTCACAAAATGTTACTTATTATCACAATATAGCCTATTGATTGTTTTAAAAAGTTACATACCCCAGCTTTATTATTAAGACTTTACCTTATTGGTCATAAATCTTCGATGTTATTCATACACAATGGTTTGGTCCTACAGTTCAGCCAGGCCAACACTTTACTTAGAGCTTGGCAACCTGCTATACATGAGCTCTGGTTAAACTCTATCTCACTCAATCCACTCATTTCCGAACATTCACTCTGCAGCCAATTATAAACTCTGATTCATATGCTTCACACTGTATTGCAATTATTATTTCAAGCCTCTCTTCAGCTACGCCTTAAGAACTTGTAATTTCTCTTGATGGAAAAGCTTTCAAAGTAACGGCACAGCTTCACCGTGACCAGATGGCCACTTTCATTTTTTACAACCAGAAATACTTAGCTGGACCATTAGGCGACATGGCACCTCCAGACAGGGCCTTTCTGTGGTAACTAAGTAATGTTTATTTATATAGCGCAATTTACAGAAGGAGGTCACCCAAAGCTTTACAGTTTACAGAATTCAGATATTTTTCCATTCACACACAGTGATGGAAGTGAGACACACTGACGCATCAAAGCCCCAACCAACACCCTCCATTCACTCTCTCATTACATTCATACTTGATGCAGATGTTTTTAGTGGTAGGGGAAACAGGAGCACCTGGAGGAAACCTGCGCAGGCACAGGGAGAACATGTAAACTCCACTCAGAAAGGCTCTGTTGCGACAAGGGTTTGAACCTAGGACCTTCTTGCTGAGAAGCGAGAGTGCTATTCATTCAATAATAATGAAGTTATGAAGTTAGTTAAAAGCAACACGAACAGAGAATGGTGTAGTTATGGTATAAGTGAATAGGCTTGTCCAAATAGTTTGAGGGTCACAATGTCTGCGTAGGTTTCCTCCAGGTGCTCCGGTTTCCCCACCACTAAAAACATGTGCAATAGGTCTGAATGTAATGAGTGAGTGAATAAATGGTGAGTTTCTATGCTCCAGTGTGTGTTTGTTGAGTCACTTCTGCCATCTCCGTCAGTGAAGTGGATGGAAAAATGTCGGTACTTAAAAAAATAAATTATGCATGTTTTGTAAAGCACTTTGGACTGTGAAATGTGCTCCATGAATGAAGGTTAATGGTTACTTACTTACTTACTTAAATGAGATTGTGGCATTAATGGCAGTATTTTGTCCAGATTTGACACCGCGAGAGTGATAGAAAATTGCAAAGAAAGTAGTAGTTTCTTTTCTTCGGTCATTATGATTTTTTTAAATCTTTTTTTTATACTTACTTTTTTAATTTTTGCCTTTGGAGTTTTAATGGTCAAAACGTCATAACTCAAAAACACAACAAGTCAACAAGTTAAAGAGTATATGTAATAATAAAATGTATGAATAAAAACAGAATGAAAAAAAATATGAACATTTGCAAAGGAAAAGATAACACAAAAATAATGATAATAACACATATAAAAATAAAAGTAATTAATTGTAAAAAAAAATAAAAATAAATAAAGTATATGTAATGATAAAATATATAATAATGAAATGTTCATAAAAACATCATGAACATTTATAGGTCACACGTTTTTAAAAGATTTTATATATTTATAGATTTACAAAAGGAAAATATAATGAGATTACGAACGAGGTTCGTAATCTCGATGGGACTTTCCATTGAGGTTAAAAAGGTTATTAAAGGCGAATAATAAAAATGTGTGTGTGTGGTGTCGTCTCTCTGCAGCACTGGGATCTCTTTGAGCCGAATGGACGAGAAAGCTGAGGACAACAGGCTGCAACACAAGGTGAGTCCACTCTTATGGAATTAAAATGAGTAGAAATTATCAATGTCCTGATTCCTGGAGCATCTCTCTCCGCGCAGGTCGAGCAGAAGTATTAAAGTTGCATGAACACATTGTGTTTTGATGACGTACAATTGGGCAGGAGGCCGCAGTAATGAGCACGATCCTTTATACATCGCCCTAATAAGAGAAAGCAAATACTAAATTACTAATGTTTTCTTGTCAATGATGATCCGGAGCAAGATGCATCGCCTTTGGATAGAGATTACAAATGGATTGCTTCAATGCCTGTGGATGATTCAGAAGCTAAGCAAGGTGGGGTGGGGTTAGTGCTGTGATGGGAGACCGCTGGTACCACAGGGCGGATAAGGCTGTAAAGAGCTGTCCTTTAGCAAGACACTTCACTTCACTTCCACATTGACAATATCGAGTCAGACGGCTCAGATTGGCAGCCTCGCTCGCGTCTGTCTGCCTCAGGCAGTAGTAGTAGTTTACGCCAGATGTGTCTGGATTTAATGAATAATGTAAGGCCATTTTGACTCATTTCATCGGTTATTCAACTTAAAAGGTAAAACCAATACATGATATAAGTGTATTTGAATAGCACAGCAACTCAAAGAGCTTAAAAAAAGAAGAAACATTTAAATCACTAAAGGCATTAAAATCCTGTGACATATGCCTTTGTTTATTATGATTTTAATGATTATGGCTTACAGTCCATTATCAAAATATTCAGATTTTCTGAGATGTTTTACATGGGGTTTTGAGCCATAATTATCTACATTATAACAAATTGAGGCTTGATCTACCTCTCTTTGCATGTAATTAATGTCATATATTATCTTCACATTGGACTTTAAAATAAGTAAATTGACTTTTGAATGATAATATAAGTTTCCGAGTGAACTGATGTATTATTATTATTGTTAAGATCTGATTGAACACAGGGGGTTGGGAGTAAACAGTATTTTTCACTCCCTTTCGAGCAAAGAGCCTTATTTTGCTGTAACTCTATGTATGGTTTATGTAATCCACAATGGACTGATTAGGATTTACACATTTCTGCTCTGCTATACTTTAATGAATAACTAAATTCATTAAATCAATCAACCAATCGATCGACCAAAGACCAGTAATTCTATGTACCTTTCTGAAACATTGCAAACAGCAGATTATTAAAACCTTTACCATAAGTTTTTAATGTGCTCTATGGAAAACAGTGGGTATTTGCAGTGGGTGTAAGTGGGTAGCTCCATTAGTGCTGCAGTTAATATGTCAGGTGATAATAAATGCCAGTGCCTTTGGCCATGTTTTAATAAGGCACTGTGAACTGAATGTGGATTTTGAAGCAATAAACACATAATGAAGTAAAAATATAATGTAATAGTTGTGCAAAAAAAATTGTAGATGACAGTATTTTACCAACGTTATGCCCAGTTTGTCGTCATTGAAACATGTCTGGAAGTCATTTTAGGAGTGGATTTGAGTGATGGCGAAGGGGAATGCTTTGGGGATGGGTTGGTCATCACTTCAAATATAATCTAAACAAATTGGCTGGGAAATCCTGTGGACAGCGTATGCATAACAATTGGACACAAGTGCATTAGTCTCTGTGCATCTACATAATTACATTACAGCAAGAGGCCGCTGCTACTTATTACTTTTTTCAAACCCAAAAATATGTTTTTCTTCTCCCTTTGTCGGCTTGTTTTTCAGCACCATATAAAACAACAATAGATAATAGGTAGAATTTACTATGAAAAGATTATTTGTTTCAGTTGGTTCAGAGAAACTGCTGTTAATTTCAATTTCAATGTATTTTTGTATTGAACTAAATCACAACAGCGGTCGGTTCTGAGGACTTTATAAAGTTGTCGATTCCTTGATAACAGATCAGAGACATCATATGCTTCTGTCTGCTTCTCAGTGATAATCTATGACTCGTTTTAATATTCAGTACATTTGAATTTGTGATATTGAGCTGAAACGAAAGAGTCTGCGTAATTCTGTGTTCAATCTTCCCGTATCCTCTCCTCATACTCGGCATCAGCAGAAACGTGGTCACATCAAAGTATTCGCAGACTCGACCAATACCAGCACATTTTTTTCCTTCAAAATGAAATGTTCAACTGTGAGGAAACTGTTAAAAACCCCAGTTAAATTATTTAATCACCGGGCAAAAGAAAATCATCAGGATTGTATCTAGTTTCCACTGTAGACATCATTCAAAACTGATCAGAGAATTAAAATAAATGTGTATTATGTGTGGGTGTGTTTGTGTGTAGGTGTATGTGTATGTATAGTATATATGTGTATACTGTATATATGTGTGTGTGTGTTTGCGTGCGTGTTAGCGTGTGTATGTATGTGTGTATTTATTCATGTTTGTGTGTGTGTGTACTGTATGTCTGTCTCTATATATGCATGTCTAATGTTGTTTTCTATGTTAACAAAACAAAAATCTTACCAAAACACTGCTGAAAATCTACAAACACAATACATACAAAACTGTGGCGTGTTGCCATTTTTCAAGCTGTCCCTTAAAAACAATTATAAGCAGTTGTGGTATCTGCTATTGTTGATATTCTAAAATTCTACATAGATGGGACATTAAAGCATTCAATTGCTAAAGACTGCTGACCATTTCTCTCAGCTCATAAGATTTCATGTGACTCTGGAAGGACAATACCATCTCCTGTCATGGGGTTGAATGAGACTGCATACAATGTCTATGGACGCCTGGGTTGTTATGTCTTGAGACTGTGTTTCCCAAAGAGCCCACTGCTTTGTATGGTCGGGGTCTTTTCTACAATTCCATCTTAGCAGGACCCGGGCTAGGTTATTCTGTAATTTGTCTGTATTCTGCTTATATACATTAAACCTTCTTCTAAGCAGAGCCTGAGCTTCCATTCACTAATCACTGGTTTGTGCGGGAGGGAAACCCAGTTAGATTATTTACAACACAGTAATAAACATGCTACTGCTGAGTGAGTTAAACACAGATTTGACCAAGGTACTAAATGCAAAAAAATACACTCTGATTATACTATTTTACTCTTTTCCCCAAGAAAAATAGACGCAAATTTAAAACACAGCCCAAACTGACAAAGCTATCGTCTCTCACACTTTGGCTTCACATTTTATATCGAGCGGAAACAGCTGGACAATGCAAGGTTGACGGTACAGTCCTTATAAAACACACAAGAGCGGAGCTAAGGGACTCGTAATGAAAGTAATGAGCAGGACTCTTTACAAAGGACTTCCTCATGTGCATTAAATGAACTGTTTCTGCCTCATGTGAGAATACGACGCCATAAAATGTTTTTTTTTTTTAAATCCGTGCGTGTGCGGTGTACTAACAAGTCTGCACCTCCAGCGTCTTTTTGTCTGGCCTGTTGTTGTATGTGAATGAACCCCGTGAATCAATCCTAAAATGGAGGAAATCAAACTGTCTCTGCCTGGCTGCCGGCCCACTGTCTGCAGAGAAGGGCATAATGAATTTACAGCCTACAAGTATTCAGACTAGGCCAGCATTTTATCAAACAAAGAGGGATCAAGGGTGCGTAAATATATAATGATGATGATGCAAAATAGATCCAACGCTCAGGTCTGGTGTTGGCGGTCGGTATTCAAAGGCGTTCACACTTTTAGTCCGATTGAAATGGACTCTGGTACACTTGGGGATTAATGCTTTTTGTTTATTGAGGTGAGAACAATAGACACCCGGGTCCAGCAGTCGCCCCGGTTCAAGATCAAATTAACTCCTTCTATAGTCTGAGTCCTGGATCTATAAAGAAGTCTCAGTCTTGGTTCTTCAGCCTGAGTCCTGGATCTATAGCCTTCGGGCTCCCAGAAGTTTCTGACTTTTTTCTACTGGGTTTTTTTTTGGGTCGGTCCTTACCAATGCAGGACGGTCTGAAGACAGTGATGATTTGGGACGTTTAAGGACTTTTATTCACATTTCTGGACAGTGGTCATCCTGCTCCTATGAACCAATGGCTTCTATGTGTTATTATTTCACTTCCTGTGTTCAAACTCTTTTATTCTCTGATCTGTTTGTTCTTTCTCTGTTCTTTGTAAAGATGAAGTAGTTACAGATTTGTAAACCGCTTTGTGACTCTGGTCTGTGAAAGGCGGTGTATAAATAAATATTACTTACTTATTATTACTTACTTACTATTACTGCACGTAATAGGCGACACGGTGGATAACACTCTCGCCTCTCAGCAAGAAGGTCCTGGGTTTGAATCCCGGCCGGAACAGGGTCTTTCTGAGTGGAGTTTGCATGTTCTCTCCGTGCTTGCGTAGGTTTCCTCCGGGTACTCCGGTTTCCCCTACCACTAAAAACATGCACACTAGGTTAAATCCTCCAGCTCTGGTAGTCCTGACAGAGCCGAGCATCAACATCTGGAGATGGGTTCCCGGGCGCTGTTACTACGGTGATCACTTCTCTTCCCATCAGGATGGGTCAAATGCAGAGGATGAATTGCCCTACAGCGATTAATAAAGTGCACCTTTACTTAAACATCCAAAAGAATCTCTAAAAACAACAGTGAGAATGTGAAAGCCAAAGAAAAACAAATACTATATGGCCAGCTGTGAAAAACTGATTTTGCATTGCACTGTAGGTGTAGGAAAGAAAACAGGAGCGTGCGGTCCTAATGTGAAATACAAAAAATAATGATAATAATAATTTTACAGAAATAGAAAAAAACCGTTGTGGCGGACTGCTGTGGTGCAAGCTGAAAGGCAAAGCTCTCGAGTTACTGCTCAATCTACGTTCCCATCTTCACCTCTAGTCCCAGCTTTGGGTAATGAGCGAAAGGACAAGATCATGAATGCAAGCGGTCCAAATGGGTTTCCTCCTCAGAGTTTCCTTTAAGCTCAAGACTAGAGCATGAGGGAGCTCGGAGTAGAGCCCCTGCTTCTGCTCACCGAGAGGAGATCAGGCATCTGTTTGCCTCCTGGACGCTTCCCTCATGAGGTGTTCTGGGCAGGACAGGAGAAAATGGATGGACCAAAAACAATGATGAAAAATGTAAGAATTGAACAGAAACAGAAAGAAGCTGCGGTGGTCGGACCAACTGGCTCAGAGATGTTTTGGAGCATCTCAGGAAATGTCATGAAGTCTGACTGAAATGGTTTTGGCTGACGGACGACAAGACAAAATCCCCGAAACATTAGATTCTGAACAATCGTTGGCTTCAGCTTTGGGGAAAACAAACCGTACCTATCTCTCTTTTGTATATAATTCTCGTATTAAAATAAAATTGCTTATGTAGTCCGGGATTATTTTCACTTTAGTCCTGCTTTTGTCACATCTTTAACACCAGTAAAGTTTGGCCTAGTTTTTAATTTTGTTAATCTTTGGTTCAGCCTTTTAATCCTCGTTTAAGAATGAGATTTGATTAGGTTAGTCAGCACAGAGGCTTATTATGTCTCTCTATAAATGAATTGGATTTGAATAATTAACTGTACCCATTGTTAATAAAGCTCCCACACTAAGTGGTAATACCTACCTCATTATTATGGAATATCCAACTATGTAGCTGTGAGAATGTACTGTATTATTTTAACTAAATAGGATTACTGATAAGGGTCAGGTGAATGAGCAGATTTTAAATCACAGAGTAGAACAGGAGCAAACCTGACAACCTGAAGAAATTATTGGACATACAATAGTTTTAACTATGAACAATCGATAATATCCTCCAGCTCTGGGCGTCCAAGTATCAACATCTGGAGATGCTCCTAACAGAGTCTGGAGGGTGAAGGATGCGTCACATGCAGAAACAGGAATCAGAAGTCTACCTTACCTTCATTCAAATATATGATAATCTATAAATGAAGTAAAGCCATCCATCCATCCATTTTCTTCCCCTTAATCCATTTCTGGGTCGGGGGGGTGGCCAGAGATGCCATCCAGTACACATAGCACCAGCCTCTCACTGATCCTCCTGCAGGTGGCGAGTCCACAGGAGCTGAGATCTTTCAGTTGGGGCTTCAGGCAAAGTCGGGTTAAGTGTCTTGCCCAAAGACACAACGACAGCAGTCATCAGTGGGAGTCGTGAAGTAGGTCTTACAGTGGGCTCGAACCCTCAACCTTCAGGCTCAAAGGCCAATGCTCTACCAACTGAGCTACTGTCGAAGTAAAGCCATCTCATAAAAAACATCATAGATTACATAAAAACATTAGAGATTCACTTTTTTTTTAAAAACATTATAGATTATTTTAAATAGTATAGTATTTATCTGAGTGTATAACATTGTTCCCTTGTCTTTAGCTCCATCCACACTAATCTGAGAAACTTCTGGTACAAAAACAAAAGTATTGCCTCGAAATTAAAGGCACACCGCGGACTTTGTGACCTAAAGAGTTGACACATATGAGTTATTTTATATGAATACTTGGGCCAATATACAGCGCTTGACACTTGCAATGCTCCGAGCGGGGCTGCCCTCTTGAAATACCGCCCATGTAAGTTTCGAGCAGACGGACCGTCTGCCACCAGGTCACGTGACTTGGAAGAAAGACTTGCTTTACGGCTACAGGCGCTGATATACTCATGGAGCTAAGGCTTTTGCTACTCATTTTTCACCTGCTCGACTCCTGGTCATGGCTGAGGCAAGGAAAAATTTTAAACCTTCGGAGGAGGCTAAAAAGAGGAAACGCGAAAGGGATCGTGCTGTAAGCTGCATGTCTGTATGAGCGCTGCTCTTCACCTGGTTCCTGGATGTCATCGACTGCAAAGATGTCATTCCACGCAGCACGAGCTAGACGCAGAACTCCCTCATCCAGGATATAGAAGTCCATGTGTGGTAGATTACTAATGCAGCGGTCTGGAGGCTGACCACAGCAGAGTCTCTCAATATCTGTAGGCATGTCTCTACAGTTTGAACACACACACCAGTGCATGCTGTCTGAATACACACTCAAAAGACACCGGCTGACTGTTTGTTGACTTTTGCGACAGTGCTGAGTTGCTTGTGGCCACTAGGGGCGCTAAACGTGAAAGTTGCAGGTCTAGCGCCCCTAGTGGCCAAGAGTTACACGGTGTGCCTTTAATGTTGACTTTTTTTCATAACAGCGCCGCTTCTTTTAGACCACGCACTTTTGGATCTTATGTTTATTCAGACATTTCCCACTGAAAGCACTCTATTTGTTTTTTTTTTTTTTTTTTCTTAATTTCAACAGAAAGATTTTTGTTCATGTAACATTTTGTGAATAGACACGCTGTCTTTAATGTTTTAATTTTATATACTGAGAGCTTGGTGGCTGGGTGAACCGTGGTACTCTCTTTTTTACTGTAAAAGCTGATCTAAGGAAGTGACCGAGGCCAAAAATACGTGAAACCAGTGATAGAATTGAAATAGTCAGAATCCTTTCACATTCCAAAACATTATCAAGGTCATGTTTCTGGACAAAATAAAAAATAATATTTGCTCTTAAACATTACTGTGGCCATACCTGCATGTGAAAGATCCCATCAGACCGTTAAAGTTGTGCAGGGCAGGGCCTGGTTAGTACTGTGATGGGAGACCTCTGGCAACAAGGTGCCACAGTGGAACGACTGCGGCTGTAAAGTGCCAAATTGTTGTTGTGTCCTTATGCAAGACACTTCACCCACATTGCCTAGAATGAGTCTGATGTGTGGGGGATGATTGTTGGTGGTCTGAGGGGTCGATGGCACATACTGGTTGCCTTACTTCTGTCAGTGTGCCCCAGGGCAGCTGTAGCTACAGTGGTAGTTTATCACCACCGTGTTTGGAGTGAAAGAATACAAATAAAACCGCTAAATAAAACCTAGGCATTTTTATTAATACTATCATTATTAACATTGAATGGATTTCTTTCCTCAAATGTGCCTTTTGTGAAATGGATGTGATTGTTTGTGTTTCAGGAGGACGGTCCTAAAGTGCTTGACATCCAGACGCCCACAGTGTCCCCCAGCACTCAGTCTGTGGGCAGTGCCAACAGCAGCGGAGGAGCCACAGACCTGTTCTCCAGCTCCCCCATCGCCCCTGTCCACAGCCAGTGAGTGATGTTGCGCTGCAGACACATCAGACGAGAGTGCACTACATCAAACAGAGGATCTTGGTATTCTACAGTGTCGGCCTGTGCTGCCATTACCTTTATAAAACATCATCTGAATTAGTTTTTTAAAAAGGTCGTTCAATCTCCCACTTGTTCAAGCAGAGGCCAAAACGCTTCTGCAGATCTCCAGGGTTCCCATCTTCTCCCAAAATAATCCACTTCCAAAAATAACTGAAATAACTTATTATCTATATATTTCAATTCAATCTATTTTTGCATTGCCCTAAATCCCAACAGCTGTAGTCTCAAAGTTGTCGATTCATCCGCATCAGATCAGAGAATCAAACAGTCCATACATTCTATTCCACTCACACAATCTGGCCAAAAGGAAAATAGGTGGAGATTTTTTTCTGTTTAGATACACAATACAAATGTGGTTATAACTATAATAATATAATCTACAACTAGGAAGTCTCTCACATATGTCCAGTTCTCAGGGAATAAACATGAAAATAGCTCCATGGCCTCCAACTTGCCTGTCCTCTTGCTGTGACTCTGAGGAGCACAGGGACTGGTCTCCTGCTGGGACTCTGAGGAGCACAGGGACTGGTCTCCTGCTGGGACTCTGAGGAGCACAGGGACTGGTCTCCTGCTGTGACTCTGAGGAGCACAGGGACTGGTCTCCTGCTGGGACTCTGAGGAGCACAGGGACTGGTCTCCTGCTGTGACTCTGAGGAGCACAGGGACTGGTCTCCTGCTGGGACTCTGAGGAGCACAGGGACTGGTCTCCTGCTGTGACTCTGAGGAGCACAGGGACTGGTCTCTTGCTGGTGCCCAGAGTCAGGACTAAACATGAGGAGGCAGCCTTTAAAATATGTGCAGCTAAAATCTGCAACAGTCTTCCTAAATATGTGAGACAGAATTCTACTTTGACAATATTCCGGGTTAAAAAGAGTAATTTTTTCAGCTTCCATCTTTTGTAAAGCACTTTGACTTGTCCTGTGTGTATGAGTTGTGCTTTACAGATAAACTCGCTTTGCCCTGTGTAGAACTCAGTGCTCTTCATCAATTATCTTTTTAGCAAGAGGACATTCTGGACAAAATCTTTTAGTGTTTTGAATGCACAAAATGGTTTCCTATTATAATATTTTGAAAACTAAATCATGATGGAGAAGAGACGCAGATTTTAGAGGTCGGAGAGCGAGGCAAACAATGAGACATTGGTTGAAATCCAAAAAACAGATACAGTAATAAATGCCGTGGAGGTTACTTGAACCACGAGGGCCTTTCTCCAAATATGCCTCATCATTTCTTTGTATTTTGAACCATGTCGAACTGGGAGGCACATTATTAAAAATATTTAGACATTCGTTTTGACATAAAATACATTGTTCAGAACCAGGAAGGTCAAATGCATGTGCTACAAGGCGATGTATGTCATTAGTTAGACAGTGGCTCAGTTGGCCTTTGAGCCAGGAGGTTGTGGGTTTGATCCTTCCACAAGACTTTCTCCACCTTCACCCACGGATGTCTGCTGTCGTTGTGTCCTTTGCAAGACACTTAACCTCTGGGAACACCTGATGCCACAGTGGGGCGGCTGTGGCTGTAAAGTGCCAAACTGCCGTTGTGTTTCACCCCCATAGCCTAGAATGAGTCTGGTGAGTGTGTGAATGGTTGTTGGTGGTCGGAGGGGCCGATGGCACATACTGGTTGCCTCGCTTCTGTCAGTGTGCCTCAGGGCAGCTGTGGCTACAGTATACTTTATCACCACCGTGTATGGAGTGAAAGAATAATGACATGTGAAGTGTCTTTGAGTGTCCAAAAAAGCGCTATTTAAAACTGATGCATTATTTTATTGACGAACACATGAAGATTATTTATGTGTGATCATCTGAGATCATAAAAACATGTTCACACTGTCATCCAGCCAACTTCAGCGCAGTCCGTATAAAGTAAAAAATGGCTCAAATTTTAATTTGTCCATATTTTGACTGGCTTAAAACAAGTGTTGCCAACGGGACAAAGCAAGATGATCTTGTTTTAAGAAGATAAAAAAATATTCTCCCTTGGAATGAGAAAATAAAGCAACAGTTCTTGAAATTACTTGCCCCATTGGCAAATTAAGCTAAAAACCACTCGATTCAAGCAATTATTGGTACAGCCTGCTTTGCTCAGAACCTAGAGATTTCAGCCGTTGACTTTATTTCTATATGCTGCCTTTGTTCTTGATTGTGTCACAAAAATCCATTACGGCCTTAGTGAAGCTTGTCATTCAGCCAACTCCAGCTCCATCACAGCTAATTGTAAAGCTCAGAATAGCCCCTCTTTTCTAAACCATATACAATAGCTTAAAGTTTATCCAGTTCTCTATCTACGATGCTACAACAAGAACGATGTGTTGTGACTGTGGTTTCTTCTCAATTTAATCTTCTTTGTCGTCGTATAAAAAACAAAGAAAAACCCCCAAAATGTCATGTTCTTTATTCCCTGGACACTTCTGCCTCTGCACTGTCCACGCCTGCCCCATCACAGCTGACATTAACTGCCTCAAACTCACATTATTGGATTGTCCGCTTTCCTTTTTTACTTTTTTAAAAACCTGCAAACTCAGACAGCCCTGCCAAGCTTCAGCGGGAGTGGCTCTCTCAATAAATAAAAGTGCTTTATTGATTTCGCCCGGTGCACAAAATCAGATTAAAGTGGTTGGTGTTTGTCTGTTTGCATCGTGCCAAACATATGAGCTTTAGGGAAAGGGTGGATCTGTACAGTTAGGTGTAGACTTCTGCTTTGGAAATCGTAGAGACAGTTTTCCAGTTAAATCAGGCAGTAACCAACCATAAGACATCAGTAATCGGCTGAGACTTATAGATTTGTTTTCTTTGTAATCATTGGAGGTTGCTCCTGTCACTATACAGACTTAAAGTAACAAAAAATCTTAATCAATCAAACTATCAATCAATATGTATTTGTAAAGTACATTTAAAAAACTGCCTAGGCTTATCAAAGTGCTGCACAGACAAGGGAGAAACAAGAAAAAACACATACAAAACACAAAAACATGTCAACTTTTTGATAATTGCAAGTCCAGAGCAGACATTAAGATCATAAACACAAATTGTCATGTGGTGAGATGAAGTAAGACCCAAAAATTCAAAAATAATGATTTAATGACGACGATAGAATAAAAGTTCAAACAAACTCAAAAATCCAAATGAATCATGGGAACCAGGAAAACAGGTAAAACAAGGACAAGGGACAAGCAACAATGGGAGAGGAGCACAGGTACATAAAGACACAGGTACATACACATGAGGGAGGAGCAGGCAGGAAGTAAAACTAAAGAAAAAATCACACAAGAAATTCCATGTATTTAAATCTATTTATTGCCTTTAGAGTCCCAAAAAGTATGATTTTTTTTAATTAATGTCAATAATATGCTACTTCAGGGATAGAGTTTAAGCTTTGTTTGGTTCAAACTTCTTCCCGGTTTAAAACAATTTCATTTCGACATTAAAAAACAAACAGTTTGCTGCAATTGGTACCACCAGTTCCAATATCAGGTCTGTTGAGAGACAAGCTAACATTAACATATGTTTTATTAAAGGTAGATTTTAACATTGCTTTGGGGGACCTTGGTCTGTAGAAATGCGCTATATGAATAAATATGAATTACTTACTAATAAACAGATCACTAATTAATAAGTGTGCCTTTAACTACAGCCATTATTGCACTGGGTTAGGGTTAGGGTTATATTATATTATTTACCCAGTATAGTTATATTCATATAGGGTACTTTGTATACATTATATAGTGTAATTATTATACTTTCTCCTTCTGGGGGTGGGAAGAGAGCCACAAACAAAGTATCGGACAAAAAAAGTCCCCTGGAGTTGAATGAATGATGATACATGGTTCAGAGCAGACAACATCGCTGGGACATTTCTGGAACATTGCTGACAAGGCTCCAGCAGCGAGAAACTCTGAGACAAGCGAGTGATGGGCCCAGAAAACCTATGGTCACATTTAATAATATATATATTTAGTGTTTGGTATTTTCAGCTGACAAATAAATACATAGACAAACAACCACCTCCTGTATTTGTTCTAAAGTGTATTTATAAGTGACCATTTCAAATGTGAAACGAATATATGATACAGACTGATTCCTGCAGAGTGACATTTACCAAACCTTTTATAATGTCAGTGATTATGGCTTATATTTTCAGAATGTTAGAGTTTTCTGCGATTTTTTCTTTAAGTTTGAACCATTATCACCATTAGAACAAAAAAAGACTTGATTCATATTATTTAGTTTTCGTAGCTCATATTGTAACTTTGAACTGTGGCTTTTGAACAATATTGAATTTTTCCAAATTTCACCTGTACATATTATTTATTTGTTTTTTTCATTTCGTACATGACGAGTTACAAAGCGTGACCCAAACAAGATACTCAAAGACAAATATATTTATAAATACATTTCAAAAGCACAAAAATGAATAAATAATCATGTCAAATTGAACATAGATAAGAAGTATGCATTTATAAAACATTAATAAATTGTCTCATTTCATGTTCAAAAAGTGATTTAATCCATACAAATGTGTAATTAAGAATTTTAGTTTTTTGTCCTTGCCCAGCTGTTGACATGTGTGTGTGTGTGTGCATGTGTGTGTGTGTGTGCGTGTGTGTGTGTGCGTGTGTGTGTGTGTGTGTGTGAGAGTTTGTGAGTGTAAGATGTAAAATTATAAATTGTCTAAGTGAATTGTAAAGTGATTTAATCCATACAAATGTTTAATGACAAATTTTAGTTTGTATGTCTTTGCTCAGCTGTTGACATGTGCGTATATGCGTGTGTGTGTGTGTGTGTGCATCTGCATCTGTGTGTGTGTGCGTATCTGTATGTGTGTGTGTGTGCGTTTGTCTAATTTCATGAACAAAAAGTGTTTTAATCCATACAAATGCGTAATTTTCTCTCTTTGCTCAGCCGTTAACGTGCATGTCTCTGTGTGTTTGTGCGTCTGTGCGTGTGTGTATTTGTGTGTGTTTGCAGCATGCCAGCCCTGAGCAGCGAGCTCTTCACCCTGCAGCCCACATTCGCCCCCATCCCGACCGCTCACACTGTGTCCAACAACAACAACCACGCCTGGGGAGGTACGGAATCCTGAATATTCATGGGCCTCGCACCGGTCTCACCTGCTTCTGTCTGATGCGTTTAGGTGATCTGCTCAAGCCAGCCCTCCCCACTCACATCCACAGCCCCGGTGGCCCACTGCATTCTGGGAAGATGCTGCCCAGTGATTTGGACTCGTCGTTAGCCAACCTCGTGGGCAGTGAGTGATCGGTTAAATGTTTTGAATTGTGTTGTTTTGAAATGAGATTACAAAGCTGGAAGAGGGAAGTCTAGTGCATGCTGGGCGCCAGACGTGCTGCTTTGGAACATGTTTTTTGTTCGGTGTGAAATTTCCGTGGTATTATTTGAGTTGAATATTTGAATAATTTGCAAGAGCAGATAAGTGACATTAGAATAATATTGGAAATGTTGACAGTTTTGAGCAAAGTCATATATTTTAGTACCGGACAAATACAGTTTTACCCTATATTGAGCCAATTCTTTAAAATGTATTAAAGATACAAGATTCTTTATTTGTCCCACAGTGGGGAAATTTCAGTGTTGCATGTAGGAAGAAGGAGCACACAGATAAATGAATGATAAAATAGAATATGAATATATGTAATATCCTCCAACATCAAATACCAATTCTAGGAATCGTTTACAATTTTTGAATTCATGTTTAATGTCTGACAGTTGCATAAAGTGGGAATCATCATTTCCAGTTCAGACGAGAAATTCATTGTTTTTTACTATTTAGATGAAACGTGTAAAAAAATAAAAATAATAAAGCTTGAGTTGGCAAACTATTTAACTTCAGCTTTTATGGGCCACATTTATCAAGGGTTTACTCATAAATTATTTTTTAAAAAGTGATCTCCTTTTGATTGATCTCGCTCATGTCCTATTGAACTAAATTATTATTAAAAACTAGTTCTACTGCAGGTCATCTGGACTAAAGCGCACAAAGATTAGACTGGAGACAGCAGTTAAAAGTACAAGATGGTTCAGTTTCAGAGTGGGACCTTTGGTATTAACATGTCAACAGTCACATATGAAAACACAGGGACAGAGGAAGCAAGGAACCATTGAATTTTTAGCGTGTACATGTAAACAGTAAACCAAAAATCCCAACTTCAAACTGTGCCCATGCTTCCTCTTGGCAAAATGGATTAACATACAGCCCACTTGGTCCAGCCATCCAGGGGCCAAAGGTGAATTAAAATGCAACCAGCCAAATGTTTTTCAGCCACATATAATGTAGTTCAATAACATTTTAAAAACAACATTGTGACAATCAGATTCTATTATCCAGATGAGTACGTAAATTTTTAAAGTTATACTAATGGAATAAGGCCTTATAGTATGTGCAATCACGATATTTGCCAGAAAATGTGGATATTTTGCCAAAACTAGCCCTAATCCACAGCCCTATTTTCATGTCCCTAGTTTAATGCGGGACTTCTCTTGTTGAATTTGTTTGTTCCAAAATGCCGGCGTTTGCCCTCTGTTTAGTTAATCCCTCTATAATCACAGGATCTTTCCACATGAAACAAAAAACTGCCTCAAAGTTCACCATCTCCTCTTTTTTTATTAGCAAAAAACGTTAAAACATCTTTTCAAATCCGCTTCAAAAGAGTGGCGCCATTTTTGTCTTTTGATGTCATCTGAAAGAATTATGGCTGTAACAAATAAGATTGTGTACTCCAGTTATTTCTTTAATAGTCATTCCCTAGAACTCTCCGTCCTCTGTGCAGAAGATAAAAGAAAAATAAACTCCAATCTAATCCTTTGTCCTGATTCTGGGCTAGCACAAATTGTTCAGCATATTGGTTACATAACAGACACTGGAAGACATGTTGTGCCTTTAGAATTAGACGGATCTATCTGATGTTTTTTTTTTGTAGAAATTTGAGTTATTTCACCATTCTTAGTGCTTAATATATTTTGTATACTTGTGTTGTGTAGGATCCATGCGTGTTATTGTGTGTTTTTTTCTACGTACACACAGTGGCAGCTCTGTAATTATAGGAAGAAGGCTGACAAAACGTTGATCGCAAAACGCCTACAGATAAAAGGCTTTTATCGACTCTCAGAATCACCGCCGCGGAGGGGTATTTTTGAGATTGCATGATAACTATTGTCATGTGGGATTGTGTGTAAAACAAGCTGTCATCCATGTGGTATTTATCTTTTAAGCAGTGCCTAAAGAAATGTTTGCTAAATGTGGAAATGGAAATAACATGTCGGATAATCAAGTAGTTCTAGCTTCTTTTATATTTAAAGGTTGACCTGTTCTCCACAACCATTTTGAATAAGGATTGATAAGGATAAGATTCCTTTGATTGGGACTGGTGCTATGACCCAGAAGTGGACTAAAACAGAGGTAGAAAATGAAAAAAATGAGAAATGAACGAAGGATTAGATTCTCAAACCCAGTCCTTATTTTTGGCCAATGTCATGTACATGTTTTTTGCATATTGACTCCACTTCTGCACAGCTTTATGGGAAAACAATTAGACCATAGTTGAAAGTTTGCAAGACTTTTTTGTTTCGTGTCGATTGTCCCAGGGGTCATGGAGAAATTAGCTCTCAACTAAGACTTTTGACAATTACCGTAGTTATCAGAAAAGATCAAAGGAGCTGCCACCCAGAGAGACGTATATGCTAACCTTTGTCATGGGGGGATTGAGAGTGAAACAAGCTGTCATAAATGTGCTATTTCTCCTTTAAGCAGTCCATAATGAAATATCGATGGGATGTATGGGAGCGAGTGGAGGTCAGGGTCTTTGATAGGAGAGTCAGAACGCACATTGAACTCTATGATCGCAAAAAAAGTGCATTCTAAGAAACAATAACGACAAGAAATTGATCATATTTCTTTGTTTTACTTTCAGACTTGCATTTTGGAAGTGCACCTGCCAAAAAGTGAGTACTCTCCGTATTCTCGTTGGTTTTTGCGTAGGTTTAGTTTGGGTTTTAACTTTTGTGTTCTCTGAGTATCAGACCAGAGCTGCAGTGGGGAGGCCTGGTGGAGAAGAAGCCGTCCGGAGGCGGTGGATGGCAGACCAAAACCATGTGCACCAGCAACAACTGGGCCCACAGCACACACCCCATGGCCCCTGCACCCATGCCCGTCCCACAGATGGTGAGTCAGCCATCCCCGACTAACTATCAGCGACTAAAACATTTCAAAGGACATATCTGGATTGGCCTGGTGCTAGGGCTGGGCGGTATAAACGGTATAAGCGGTATGCGGTATAAATTTGGCCCACGGTAGAGATTTTTGTTATACCGGCCTATTGCGATAGGTCATTATGTCATCAAATTGCGCAGGCTCTGACGCCAGCAGAGAGCACCAAAACAAACCGGCATTCAGCAGCATTAGCCTAGCACATTAGCCTAGCACATTAGCCTAGCATTAGCCTAGCACTATTAGCCTAGCAGACACCACTGGAAACAACAGCACGGCTTTCACACCGTGTTTCTGTCTCTGTATTGGTCACAGCGGCCCCAGCAGAGGTAAATACACACACAGCAATCACAGTTTAATCGTCTACCTTTCGGCCAATGAGTGTCAAAGGGGCGTAGGCTCGAAGCGCCAGCGTGAGCCAAGATCCATGCGTGTGCCGTGTCAGCAGCAGAAGTTTGGTAAAGGTAGCGTCCGATTCAGACTTCCGCGGTCAATAGATCACGAAAGCTACTTTGTTAAACAAAATTAATTGTGCCAAAATGAGCATTTACATCAATTGTTCAAATCAAATGCGCTGTTTTAATGCAGATAAATCCATTGAATCATCCAGTTCACAGCAAGCGCTTAGGGAGCGTCAACAAATGGCAAGAATAGGTTTGTAAACGAACAATAGCTTTTACTGAAGCCATGCATACGCACTAAACTCTGACACTATAAATAATGACCATGTCTAACTGCTACAGATATTATATAATATATTTTATATTTTTATATTATTTAAAATTGCTTTCACAGTAAATGGTCTTTACTGTAACATACATAAATAATGTATGTTACAGCATTTGTCTCTCACCTGATTTTCAAACTCAAAAAATATATATCAGATTCTAATGTATAGATAAGTAACAATCTTGACTATTTTATGCAAGAACCTGCTAAACCTATATTGAAATTCACACACCAAATTATACCGTGATGTATACCGTCTACCGTCTGTGACCCAAATCATACCGCGATATGAATTTTAGGCCATATCGCCCACCCCTACCTGGTGCACACTGGGTACTTTTACCCATGTATTCCAATGAGGTTTTATTGCAAATGGCAAATAAACTGAATCTGAATCTTCCAGCAATATATATCTGAACCCAGACTGAGAACAAGTCTGGGACTATTAGCAACCACTTAGTAGGTACTGCTTCTAGGTATTTATATTTATTTATACAAAGTGGAGTAATGCCTTTGTCTATAGCTACGTGATACGTCACAGGATGAAATAATAGTAATCTATAGTAAGACATTTTGACTTTGCTGAAATCATGATCTAGGTGGCTACTTTTTAAACTATTCAACTACAACTGTGTGTAGATAATTAAGGTACCAGCTGTTAGTTAAGATTGTGTTTGACTTTTAGCATCCACTTTGGACAGACCTGGGCAAACTGCGGTCCGGGGCCACATTCAGCTCAAATCACGTTTCGATGCGGCCCTTAGACCTTCTCCCATCCACAAACTGTATACTGTTTCCCCTTGTTTAAATGACTAGGAATCAATAATCAATGAAGGTTTGCAACTTCCTGAGTGCTACAATTGCATGTTTAAATCTAAAGACAACTAATACATACTATACATATAGTAATGTAAAAAGTCCTCAGTAGTCATTGAAATGACTACATTCAAAAGTATGAAAAAAATGACACAGAAACAAACTACACATGGAAACAAGAAGTCAAGTTATGAACAAAAAAAATGTCAACAAGCTAATTACACTTCCAAAGCTAAAAGCCATCAAACTGACTGCTCCGGGGGTTACCTGACATGTTTCAGTGACTCCAGCCTTACTCAGAGTACATGTCCAAACTGGTATTAATGTGATCATATAGTCTTTGTCCAGGCTCCATTTCATTGTATGAGCCTCTCAAAACATGACAATTTAAATGACTGTAACAATTGCTTCTGATCTTTGGGATTTTCAAATGGATTGAAGAGATAGAATAAATACAAATGTCAACAGCCAAGAAAAGCAGATTTGTCAGGCCCACACAGACATCAACAGCTTATCTATTTATAAAAGCAATCTAGCATTATTTTAAGGACAGTTTAGAATCAGAATCAGAATCCTTTTTATTGCCATTGTGAGTCACAGGAAGTCACAAACTAGGAAATCGCTTTGGCTCAAGGGGCAAACAAGTCATGAAAGTAAAAATAGAATAAGGCATGTATAAAAAGAAATACAAAAATCAACATAACATTTCTTCAATCTACTACTATATACAAGTACACTAAGTACACACAACGGCCTCATTGAAACATGTATTTTCATCCACTCTGTTTTCCTTGTACAATGCATTGCTACTTTTAAACATTCTCGCAGCATCACCATCGGGAGGCCTCTAAAACCCTCGCAGCCAAAGTTTAGTCCTCTCTGTTGTGTTGTCACCGCGGTCAATAGTGGTACATAAATATTAATATCCTTCTTTGTATCTTGTGCCGCATTTTCCTCGTTCACAAAAGTCCAGTCCTGCGAGTTCTTTTGTCCTGCCGATAATTACCTGCCGTCGCTTCTGTTCACTCCTCTTTCATCTTTTTAATTTTGCGCTGATTGACCTCTCCACTCCCACTGCATGGTTTATTCAGCGCGCCACCCCCAAAGTCGTGCCATGGTTTCTAAAAGTAAGAGCGAAGGCCACTCCACAAATAACCGTAGATCTGTCACTTCCTGTTCATTCACCATTCAAATGACGTCACACATTTTTCTGTCTGTTTTGCAGAATGGGATGATCTATACTGGCTATGTGAGTATGTCTCTGTACTTTTTCAATGTCAAGAACTCAGACTGAATTCAGATGGATAACCCTAGCCCAATGAAACCCAATAGGGAAGTGCCCATGGATGAAGTTTTGCTCCTAGTCGTTCTCTGGCTCGTATTGACTTACACTGAGAAGAAAAATCCTCCAGCTCAATAACCGTTTTGTGTCACACTCACAATGTTTGGGCTTGGAAAATCTGTAGTTTTTTGCTGTCCGTGGTCTTATATTGTGATATTGTCTTTGTCAAATGCCGTTGGTCGCAGGGGAAACTCAAGCTTACCTTACCTTAGCAACCATCTTAGCAACACGTCTGCAACTGTTATGACACTAAGCTAACGCCACTTGAGCAAATGCCCATATAAGGACATAATAAGGTCTTATGTTATGTTTATGTTCAAATCGGCTTCTTCCTCATTAATAAGGCTAACACTTGTCAGTCCACTCCTCATATACAGGAGGTTAAGTCAGGCCCAGACTAAAGTGTATGCATTACACACAATGGCAAGGCAAGTTTATTTGTAGAGCACAGTTCATACACAAGGAAACTCAAAGTGCTTAACAAAACAAGATAAAAAACAAGGCATTAAAATTGGTTAGAGATTAAAGAAGTTTTTCTTAATTTGCAGCGTGTGGGAAGTTGCAGATTATTTTATTTTGTTTTGTTATTTTATTTGAATAAGAACAGTACACAATCAACATTACTGTGAATGCAAGCAAAAAAACAGCCCAAACATATTTAAAATATACAGTACTTACAGGTTCAGTAAATATAACATAAGATTAAGTTTATCCTTTATTCGTCCCACAGTGGGGAAATGCCAGTGTTGCATCACCAGTTACAGAGCAGTAGGAATGAGGACACAGCATAAGATATTAGAAAAAGAACAATCTCTAACGCTAGCATAAAGAAACACATTTGCATATTTCAGTTCCATTACAGCAGGGCATCGACACTGACAGCAAAACAGAAAAACATAGAAAATCTTGTGTTGTTTCTTCTTGTTTCCGAGTTAAAGAGGTGAAAAAGCCGTTGCCTTTTTCCTGTATAAGTCCCCCGTGTCTCGGTCGGTGCCTTGCCTGGTTTTTAATCTCATTCCTTTATTTCTGTGATTGACAACTCCATCTAAAAAAGGCAAATAAAAGTGCTGTTTATGTGCTTTGCGAAAGGCCAATTAGCCTGGTCATTCATGTTTGTAATCTCTTTACAAACAGAGGACAAGTCGAGATTTAATCAAACGTCTGACGTGCAAAGACTGGTCTGGAATTAGAATAGAATAGACTTGCAGTAAAACATGGACGAGCTACAACATGTGAGAAGTGCTGAAAATCTAAATATGTGTTTTTAACCTCTATAAACAAGTGTCTAAATCGACCTCATGTTTTAGTATCTTTCACCAAATATGTAAGGCAAGGCTTGTTGATTTGTATAGCACAGTTCATACACAAGGCAACTCAAAGTGCAGTAACAAAATAAGATCCCGGTCAGTACAAGGCCTTTCTGAGTGTGGAGTTTGCGTGTTCTCCCTGTGTATACGTAGGTTTCGTCCGGGTGCTCCAGTTTCCCCTACCAGCTCTCCCCAGCTCTGGTAGTCCTGACAGAGCCGAGCATCAACATCTGGAGATCCATCCCGGGCGCTGTTACTACGGCGACCACTGCTCCTGACGTGAGCCTTAGTGGCATCAGGATGGGTTAAATGCAGAGGATGAATTTCCCTACAGGGATCAATAAAGTGCACCTTTACATTTACTTTGCATTTAAAAAAAGTAAAGATACAATCCCTCAGTTGTATGCACAGCTAAATAAAGCTGTTTTTAAGATGGATTTTAACATCAGAGTAGAAGCCTGGTTGACGTTTTCAGGTAGACAGTTCCAGATTTTAGCTGCATAAACGTGAAATGCTGCCTCCCCATGTTTAGTCCTGATTCTGGGCACCAGCAGGAGGCCAGTCCCTGTGCTCCTCAGAGTCCCAGCAGGAGCCAGTCCCTGTGCTCCTCAGAGTCCGAGTTGGTTCTTATGGCACTAACATGTCACAGATGTACTTTGGAGCGAGGCCAAAGGCAGTACAGGATTTTTAATTACAGTTAATCACAGTTTAATTGAGGTTTGAAAGTTAGGAAAGTTAGATACCCCAGCAAAAAAAAAAAAAAGAATGTGGTGACAATTGTGAGAAGCTTAGTAAAATCAATACACTCAAGTAAAAGGTATTTTTCTACAATTATTAAAAGCATGAAAATTGCAGTTTGTCATAAAAATCACTATTTGATATTTTGCCAACTTCATTCAGCTCTAAACACTCCTCTCTGGTCCCTCTTCAGGCTCCAGCACCAGTGGCTTTTCCTATGACGACGCCTCAAGTGCCTGTGTATGGAATGGTAAATAACACACAATAACATCACACAACGAACGCACAACCCTGCAAACACCATCACATACAGTAGTCTTTAGAAGCTCACACATGCAGGCACAAAATCCGGGGGGGTTTTTTGGCCATTTTTTGGAGATTGGGGGCAAGATTGACTCCGATGGAAGAGCACTGGTCTTTGAACCCAATGGTCGTGGGTTCGATCCCCCCAGGAGACCTAATCTATCTACTCCCACTGACGTCTGCGCTCGTGGACAAGACACTTAACCCCACTCTGCCTGAAGCCCCAGCTGAAAGACTAAAGCTGTGACATCACTGACAGAGCAGACACCCCCCACCACCTGCAGGAGGATCAGTGAGAGGCTGCTGCTATGAAAAATGCGCTATATAAAAAAAGATAACTTACTTTGAGAATTGTGTGGCAGCTCAGATTGCCACCTCCCTGACCGAGAAATGGACTCATACAGAAGATGATATTAATGTGTTTTCTATTTTATTCATTTCGTTCAATGTATTTCACTCTAGCAACATCTTACTTTAGCATGTGTGGCTAAAATAAGCTTATATTTCACATCTGAGAATCTCGAGGGTAGACGGTGTGTGTGTTTTGTGTTCTATTTTGACAGCATGATCCAGAATATTTTAGTTTTTACACCACACATGACAATAAACCACATATTACAATTAGATTTCAAACAATCCTAGTCCTTTCAAATGACATTGACAACCAAATCTTTTGACCCTGATTAGAAGTCTCCATCGCCCAGTTTTCAGTTTCCTCTTAAATATCTAGAGCTCGGAGTTCTTTTGTGTTAATTGTGGATGAGGCTTTACTTCCTCTCTGATGGTAAAGCTGCACGTTCTCGTTGGCAAAAAGCCTCCAGTTCCTGTTCCCCTCACATGAACTGCGCACATCTCCCCGGATCGGCTGAATGATGTTATAATTGGAAGATGGAAAGCACGATGATTTGACGATAAATTGCTTCACAGAAACACTAACGATGATTTTAGAATCTCTGAGTGGGAGTCGAGCACAACTATAGTTATAAGGCCGTCACATTCAAACTGCAGATTGGACTTGTGTCTGGGCTCCTGCGGGGTGGACTAGTCATTATGAAGATATTTCTAAGACTGAAAATACAACAAAATACGACCTTGCAAGACCAAGAGAAGGGCCACAATTTGGGTGGTGGCAATTGGAAAAACTGTATGTATATTCTGTAATTGGCATCAGACTCAATACTGATTTGTGCAATTACAATGATTAAAATCTATAATAACTATCATTTCATAGAGAAAAAAAAGACCTGTTAGAATAATATATACGATTAAAAGAATACCAACAATAAAGATGTTAAGACCTAATAAAACCACGAGTAATAAGTAACAAAACCTAATACTCAAAAACGCCTATTCCATATGACAGCTGATGAAAGAATGTTTAATACTTAATCTATAACAAAATTAAGGAATCCTGCTTTAGCCCCATTGAAATGAAAGTGTATATGTACCAGTATTTCATTGTTATAGTTATTATTATTGTTGTTTATTTGTTTTTTTTCCCCTGTTTTCCCATTGAACACTTGAAGCAAAGGAAGGTTTCTCACCCATCATCTGTACTTCTTAGCAAGTTTTCCCGACGTTTCGTCCTCAACCTAGCGGACTTCTTCAGGGAATGAATTCTCGGACCGCGCGTTGGAGATTTATAACCCCTATGGGTGTGGGAACCACACCCATAGGGGTTATAAATAGGGGTTATAGGGGTTATAATCCCTGTACGACTGAGAGCTTACACAAACATTGAACACTTGGTTCTGGCGTTTTTGACCCCTGCTGGTGACTATGTGGTACTGCATCTTCAGTTATAGTTGATTTTGTGTTTGACTTGTGTGATCTGCAGCTGCCCCCTCAGATGGGACATCATCAGATGGGGGGTGTTCAAATGATGCCCCCTCAGCCTGTTATGTACAACCAGCCTGTCCTGAGACCCACCAACCCTTTCGCGCCCATCCCGGGAACTCAGGTAACGTTTTGATCCTTCGACTTTACAGACAAACCAAATCTACCGTGTAGCTGGAAAAATAACAAAGCTCATAAAATTACATTTAAACTACAAAACTACTAAATATTAGGTCATGATGTTTTGGCACTGTTGGAACCTTTTTTCCTCCTTGTTGCTATTTTGGAAGCGTCCACAAATCATCATCGAACTAGAGAATGGGACCAGACTTTGGGGACCTTTTTAGCCCCTACTAGAGGAGAGCGCCTTTCAGGGCAACACAACGGGCTTCACTGTCCATATCACACAAGGCACAAATCATCACATAAAACAAACACCAAAATTACCATTAAAAACACAATTAAAATCTTGCAGGTAATTAAAAAGACAATTAAAATCACACAGTTCTTTCAGTTTGTATAATACTGAGTTTCTGTTGGGTTTTTTCATCATTCTCCAATATTTGCACATTTGCACAGTCGTGTAAACCGGCTCATAAAACTTCAGGATGCGTCAAAACAGTTAATTGTATGAAACAAGAAAACCTGAAATTATAATTCTGGGAGATAATCAGCTTAAGGAAACAGAAACAGCTGAAGGAAATGAATGGTCGCATTTGATTTTTACAGTTTTAGCAACTTAGCTATTCTAACCATAGAAACATCGTCATTTTTGCTCTTACTGGAATAACATTGCTACAAATTTACCTACAATCTAAACCGCTAGCTCTACGAAGCCCCAGAGGAAAGTGCTCCAACTCGCTCTGGCTCCTGTTGACTTACAATTAAAAATTCCTCTCTACCTCAGGAACCGTTTAGTTTATTTTAAGCACACAATGAAAAAGTCTACATAATGTAAAACAACAACAAAGTGATCATGACAACACTGATGGTAACACAAAGAAAATGGCAACTCATGCAGCTAATTCTACCACAATATTACAATTAACCTTTTAAAGAACTGCTTTTTTGCTTCATACGAGTAAACCGTTTGTCATTGGCAGCCATTTTTTTTATGACACCTCTTTCCAAATAATCAAGTTTATTGTATTTTTTGCCAAATGCATTTATCTTAGTCTCCAGAGAAGTGACAATATAAAGCCTCGCCTAAGTAAGATTTAATGGGCAAAAAGCGTTGAGATGTGAATATTTTGTATTTAATGATGGGTCTGTCACATCACTGTCAGCGACGAGTGCTTCTCATCTGCATAAACACAAGGCTGTGGCTAATGAAAGCTTTCAGGCCTGCGCACGTCGCAGCACCAACAAATACACAGCGAAACATATGAGCACGTCAACAAAAATGACAAGTTAAAATGAAATTAATCCGAGAAAATATCACTAATACTTTTCAAGTTTTTGCGGTTGAGATGTGTGTGTTGTCCGTCGTGATTTTGTATTTAGGTAAAAAATAATTAAGCGGAGACATCAACGAAGGGATTGGTCCAAAACAGATTTTTTTTTTTAGATTAAATGCACTGAGATAATCTAGTATGTTATATCAATGTTATTTATTAGAATTTATTTTATTAGACCTGGTTTTTAGACAGATTTGACTTGATTTGACAAAATTATCTATTTTGTACAAATTCAATTGAAACTTTTTGTTTTTTCATTAACCTCTTAAAGGAGACATACAGTATAATTCAATGATATTTTTAACCAAGTTACAAACACTGTTCCTGCATAAAAAACAAAAGTATGGGCCTGAATCAATTTGGATAATGTGTCAGCTGAAGTGACCATCTTTAAATTGCATGTGTATGTTGGTAGCCAGCAATATTAGAATTAGATCTGGTGGTTTTCCAGGGAATTACAGCAGTCAATCTAATATTCACATTTCTGTGTGAAACTTACGCCACCTGGTCCATAAGAAATCCCTAAACCAAGCAAGACTCCATTCAAACTTACCATTTATTCACCCTTTATCGATGCAATTACGACAAACCACCAACTAAGTCAATTAATGATGCATTTCCACCAAAATAGCACACCAACTGACCATGTTGACATCTTCCACAAATACACTATTATACTTTTTCCCATTTCTAAGTTCAAACAGAGCGGAACGATCATTTGTGGTTGGATGATTTCAGATTTTTGCCAGATAATTGCCATTATCCTCTCTCAAAGGAAAGCTACAGTGAATAGTAGTCAGCAGGGAGGCAAGAGAACCAAAAAGTGTTTTATGTTTTTGGAGCAATTATTACAAACATTACAGCCTTTGTGTGTGTTATTGATGGCGGTGCTGCAGGTATAGTTCTGCAACTGTCGGTTATTCAGTCATCAGAAGATGCCTGTGCGCTCGAGATGTTTTGTTGAACTAAAATACTCTTCCGTTTCTCTCTTTTCATAGATGCACTTCATGTAACGACGGCATCGTAACCATAGCAGCCAAGCCCGAGAGGCAAGAGGAGAGAACGAGTCGAAGAAAACAGATCCAAGCTAATGGCCAAAAAAGGCAAAGTGGTCCGAAAAATCAGGACCCGAGGAGAAGTGCATGGATCAAAATGGGTGTGTTGTTTTCCTGGCTCTCCGCTCTCTCCTCTGTCTGCATCCCAGGACACGAGAATCCGCTTTCACATCGACCAACAACCGCTCATAGTAATTTCGAAAACTCAATCAACTCTCAAAAATTATGCTACACAAAGAAGATCGTCAGCATCCTCCTTTAACGTCTATTTCCCTCTAAATTAATCAAACTTGTGAGGCATTTTTTGGGATCGTTGGCTGGCACTTTACTCAGCGTAAACTTTGCCAAGGTTGTGCGGCTGGTGCGATTGAAATGTCTAGTTCCTGGTAGCGTCGCTTGTCACTTTGACGTGAGAGGCGGCGAGTTACGTAGGTATGCGTGTGACCGATTTCTTTTTTTTTACATTTACACGTACGATGATAAGTTCTCAATTGCCAACTAAATGTTCAAACTTGGAGGGCATATTTTGAGTGAAGAGTGATTGGACGTAATGTTAATGTATGATGTAGCTATGTCTCTTTTTGGTACCTGTAGTCTTTAGTGTAGCCAGGTGCCCATATGTTAAATGCACTGGAACTACAATGGAAAGCACTGAGCCAGACCCAGGCATCGCATTTGGATGTAAAAATCACGTAACCTCTGCTGTACCTATGTCTATCTGTTGTACAATATCATGCAAAGTCTCTGTCCCATCCATTCCCATTGTGGTCCTATATCGGTAGCTATTTGTTTTTGTCTGTTAGATTCCTTTACGCGACGTCTTTTGTTGGTATTTTTCCGTTTCTCAAAAGTCAAAAATGCACTGAAAGCAAGACTAAATGAGGGCTTCATGTACAGTTTTGGAAAACGTAGATAACGACATATTTAGTTTCCACCCCGAGTATAACAAAAGGTCACTTATTTATATTGATAACCATAAGTATTTTTTAACTATTGACAATAATAAGTCCTTTGCAGGCAGACAAGCAATCACTCTACTTTGTATTGAACATTTTTAAGTCACCAAATCATCCTATACTCATGAAAATTCGGTGAAACCCAGAGAGCAAAGGGGATAACATTGGGAAAGAAGGCATTGGTGCAATTATACTTTCTATGTATCTGAGAATCTCCAACATGATGTCCTTCCCGTTTTGGGCACGGTTCAGACATCTGCTCCCCCTTTAAATGTCGGCAAAAACCTTGAGATGACATTTTTATCTATGGCGTTGAGGTTGTAAGGACGCCGAGCGGAGGAGGGATTTGCTCCCGTAGCGTTAACATATATATACGGACGGGAAGGTCAGTTGGAAACGTCAGGAAAAGAAAGGAAAGATCACGTCCGTCGATCAGGACCTATTATAATAGATCCATGATCAAGACCCAGCGGTCAGTGAGAATATTCAGATTAATCCAGTGAAATGTGCTTTTAATGAGACGTTAAAGGTTAAGTAGTTGTTTTTCGCCTGGCGAATCCAAGGTCGCTTTTGACCCCCAGTCAGGCCGATTGACAGTATAATATATATAGCACAAAAACCGAAGTGGAAGAGGGGACAATGCTCTGCTGCACAAAGTAAAATCATTGCTGGGATGTACAGTAGAAAGGGGCAATAACTTGATGGGGGGATGGAGTTGTTTACTATTGATTGTGTATGTCTTCAATGTACATGTACTTAATGTATGTCTGTGTGCATTCGCCTTCCCATTGAGATTAACAGGGTCATGTAGAAATCCAATTAGGTCCATTTTTAAGAGTCTTCTGGTAAAAATGCAAGGTGGTTGTAGGGATTTTGCTTTTTGGCTCCTCTTCTTTGTCTTGTGCCAGAAGATCATCTTTAAGGAATTGTGGGAGTAAAAATTGGAATCAAAGACGAAACTTTCTGCCAAGCTCGCGATGCAAATTCTATAGATGTTAGATGTGACACGTTTGGGACTCTCTCTTTTGAACTGCTGGCAATGCAGGCTACAAGCTACAGCAACAAGACTACCAGCAAAGAACTGTGGAATGCTGGGAAGGTGCAAGTCAGAAAAAGGTCAAAACCGGAACAGAACAATCACTTAAAAGTCAGAGGAAGCTCGGATATCTTCTCTGGAAGTTGACAACATACTCTCAAGCTTCATTATGTGTCCTTGTGGTCCTCCTGTCAACGAAGCCCTTTCCCATTCAACCAAGCAGCGCAGCTCAAATCCACCCGGTCCCACTTTTTTGACTGTTAACCGTGTCCGCTGTATATAGGTAATGCTGTTCATGTGTTTTAAACGTGCTCTCTCTGTAAAGTAACCCAATCCCCATTTTGGATGTACGTGGGACAATTTCTTGCCGTTTCTGTGTTTGAATGGTTGTATTTTAAAGTTGTCATCATCCAGGGGAGGAGGGGAGGGGCGTGGGCTGGATTTTGGGTCAATGTTTTTAAATGTGTGTCCATCTTGGAGGAGGAAAAGGTTATTTGAGAAGGGGGTCTTAACTATCACAACTGGTCAATACCAAGAGTGTCTTCATCAAGGGAGGGGACAGGACAGGGTCTGGCCCCTTCGAAACAGGAACATTTTTTTGCACCAAAGTCATCATCAACGCGCAGCTTCTTCTAATTCAAGGTCACTATGGATGGATGATATATGAACTCTGATTTCTGATTTTCTTTCAAAGAGACAAGGTCTTTTTTTGCATGATTAAGTGTCGTCTTTTTATTGGCTTGTGTGCCCGGTAAAAGCATGACCATTGTGTGAAATCTCACTTACCGGTGTGTTTGGGAAATGTAATGAGATTTTTTACTTACCTCTTTGACATGAACGTCCATTGACATTCATAATAAACCGTTTTGCAAGATGAGGTCAGTAAGTGTTTGAAGACTGCCGCATGCAGTAACCCATCTGACTTCAAACCCAATTACCATCTCTGCATCTTTGTAAAACCCCATGGATGTCAATGCCATCACTTAGCTAGCTAGACATTTGCAGTCTTGTAAAATTGCTCTTTATTAAAGCAGTGCTATTTTCAATATGTGTTTGAATGCTTGCTCTTTTTTCATACTATGCCAGCAGTATCTTGGGAGGTTGTGATGAAGGTCAAAGTACTGTACTTTGTTTGTTCTGGTCCACTATGTGTGGTGTGTCTAGTGTTTCAAGTCTCGTCCTGTTTGTCCTCATCAACTGGACTGTGCCATTTCCCATGATCCTTTAGGCTGGTTTCCTCGATACGGGTCTGACGTTCATTCTCAGAATCACTTTTATTCAGAGGAACATGGATATTCAACATGGTTCCAACGATAGTCCCCACAGATCCTTCCAATGTTTTACTGTTATAGACTTATGCCATTCATAATTAAGGATAGAAACATTTAGTTCACTTTCATGACTGAATCTTGGCATTGAAGTCACCGACGTAGGAAGCAGTTGGAAACCAGACCTTGACGTCAGCAGTATTTTTTCAATGTTGATTCAGTTTCACAGTCTACTGTTTATGTCCCTTAAACTCATTACCTCACTGAGCGCTGCCATTGTGACAACGACGTCTGATCTGTATTTTTTGTTGAGAGCTCAGTGTCCATGGAACAGTCTAAGCAGGAAGCGAGCTTTCAAAGCGTCAAATGCTTCTAATTTACTTTTTATGTATCACAGTGACAACAGGTTTGCATTGTAATGAAATTATTGATTTTTATTTGGAAAGCATAGATGTTTTTCAAAGAAAGGCTCAATAAAATTGTCAGTCTAAAAACACAACATGAACTTAGTTTGGTTTCATTCAAATGTATTTATTGATAAACATAACAAAGAACAGAGAACAAAATGCCTAAAACAAATGATTGTGTAAGTGGTCATCCATACAAGAGACGATTGTGGCATCATCGATCACCTTAGGGCCGAACCAGAAGAGTCAAACTTTGAATCAGCAAACCAATCCCAAGCCAGGACTAACTGAGAAATATGGCCTATTTTGCTCCTGAGCAAGGCACTTGACCCCAATATGGCCCTTGGGGCTTGAGTACAAAAATTGAGTGAATGCTTTACGGTAGTGGACATGGAAAACTGGGCTGAGGTTAGACGGAGCGGGAGTCTTTGAAGCATTCTGCAGCAGGAATGTTTGAAAAGTAAAGCAACAAAAGAACAAAAACACTGCTGGGAGGAAGGTCATGTAAAAACCCAAATCCTAGAAGAGAAGTCATGGAGACGGACAGGTTTGTGTGTGTGTGTGTGTAAGGGAGGGGCGTGTGTGGTCTGAGTGGTTACCTTAGCGACGGGACAGCCCAGTGTCCACAGCAGTTCAGGCCTAACGCTGCTGTTTGTCCCATCACACTCTACAGGGGCGTCCGGGCAAGGGCTCAGTTTGGCTCCCTCCCACTCTAGCTGCAATAATCAGCAAGAGGAAGAAGGTGGCTGGAGCAGCAGCAACAACAAGGCATGCATCTAACAGTTCAGATGGAGCGTGTGGAGGCTGTGTGTGACTTACGCTCACTCCCACCGGCCTCACAGCTCCAGACTGCTTCACAAGTGTGATCTGCAGTAAAGACATGAGCTCGAGTGAGTGTCTCAACAATGGCTTTCAGAAATGCTAGGGACATGTTACAACAGTTACTGCAGTGGCCCCCTAAACTCCTTATGTGGTACCAACAGAGAGGCTCAGGTCACTCAGAACAAAGCTTTAGATCAGTCACAAACACCCAGGGAAGAACCCACGTGGACTTTTGCTTGGGCTAAAATGAGAACTTGAAACAGTCCATAATAACAAACAAGGCTTCCTCTTAAAGGAGAGCAATAATAGTTGCTCAACTACAACCTGAAATCTGTCCCTCATCAACTGTCTCTGGCGAAAGACAAAACGTGTGGTTTTAAAAAAGAAAGACAAACTGATACGGTTTCCATCAAAACAATCCATTGTCCTGTCAGCCACAAATGAAAAGGCATGTTGAATAAACTCGTCACTTCTGTATCACAGATGTTTTGGGACATAGTTTTTATTTTAGATTTACTTTTGGCATTGAACTTAAAAGGTTAAAATTGCCAAGTATTGTTTTTTACTATACATAGAGTAGCGTACAACAATGTAAATAGTTCAAATATATGGGGAACAGCCCTGGCCAAGGTGCTGCATGTATAAAAGGGGAAAACTGCTATAGAATTATCACAATGTGAACTTTCCTGTTTGAAGTCCGGCAACCGTGAAGACTACAACTCTGACAAACTGCCAACAACTTGCAATAATGCAAACATTGTTGAAAACTGTTCCTCACTTCCACCTTCCACCTACACCTTGGTACATTTCCTTTAACACACAGAACCAAACCTCCAATCTAAATATATTTCCTCTCAGAGTTGTTCCATAGAACACGGGATGAAGTCAAATTCTGAAAATCTCCAAACTCCTTATCTAACCTCGGATTTTATTACAAAACCATGAATATTTTGTTTCTGCTTAAATCCAATTGTAAAGCCTGCTTTGTAATCTGTCCATGTAACTCATACACAAATGCAAGAGTGTGAAGGAGTGTGTGCCTATCGGAAAGGGGGCTCTGGCGTGTTGTACGGGTAATCGTTGCGGTGGGCCGTGGGTTGGCCGTGTGCGGGTGTCTGCTCATACGGTGTCGTTGCGTAAGCTCCCGTCGAACCATAAGCTCCCGATGCGTAGCCTGCAGAAGAGTCGTAACCCCCGGGCGCCGCGCCGTACGTCCCGGCCGAGGCGGCGTCGTAGTGGCCAGCTGCGTTGTTAAAGCTCCCTGAGGCTCCGTACATCCCTGGAGGAGGGTAGGCGTAGGTCTGGGGGGCGGAGTATGATCCGGGAGCGGCCTGGGCTGCGGTGGAGGGCGGGGCCTGAGTGGAGGCTGGGGCGGGTGCAGGAGGGGGCGGAGGGGGGTTGGTGTAGGCGTATTGAAGGTACTGGTACTGCTGCTGGTACTGCTGATACTGCTGGTATTGCTGCATCTGCTGACAGTACTCTGTGTACGACCTGCCACAACGACACAAGACATTATTGACAAGTTACGAACAGTCATTTATTTATGTTCCAGATCACAGAGATGCTTACCTGGAAACAGGGTCAGCTCCTTCAGAGGCAGCAGCGACAGGTCCAGAATCCTCGTGGGCTCCTGGTGGAGTGGGCAACAGGGCTCTGCGTTTGGGTCGGTTTGAGTCAAAGGATCCGGGGACAGGGTCAGGGAGCAGGGGGGCACGGTTACCCCTTATCGGGCTACGATCACGATCAGTCTCTGGAGCACCCTTTCCTGCATGTTGCTCAGCCAGCACCTACATTTTAGAAGTTTGTCAGTTACAGATGAAGACAACACATATAAAAAGTGTATAAAGAAAAGTAGTTTGAGTTCACAAACCTTCTGTCCATCTTGGAAAAACTTGGCCCGAGCTGCTTCAAACATTGTGGTTGGGTCGGGGACAGTGGGGACCTCTGGCTGCTTGTAGACTTTATCTGCCACTGAGCCGTAGACTTGGCTGGCTAAAGCCCCGTATATAACTCCATCTGCTCCTTTTGAGCTAGTGATGCCTCTCAGGGCTGTGTAAGTTGGATCTAATGGTGTTGTGTTGTAGAATGAATTATGGACACTTTGTTGAACCTGTCAGAGGAAAAAAGATAATGTATGGGTTTCACAATCAGGACGTGGACCATTGCCATAGAGGTCAAATATTCTAAAATAATACATATAAAAAGGTGGCATAAAGGCCTTCCTAGTTTATTCTCTGAACATTAGACATAAATGCCTTTGAGACTTTCACTTAAAACGACATTTACCTGAATGGGGAGTCCAGCAGCAGCAGCTGCCGCCGCCGCGAGCACAGCAGCCTGACTTTGGTGATGTTCAAGAGCCGGTCTGGGAAGGAGTCCTTCTCTCCCTGTGTGATAAAAGGAAAAGTTTGATTAATTAAAAGTATAGAACACACGCACTCGATACTTCATTAAAATTGCTACAATGATTCATACTGGAGCCATCTCCTCCTGGTATCTGATTGGCTAAAGGCTGAGCTTTTGATAGCTCCACGGCCAATTGTCTGCCTTTATAAAGGCTCCCATTCAAAGCCTCTATTGCCTGGACAGCTTCATCCCTCCTCTCCATGTGCACAAACGCATAGCCAACATTAGAACACAAGCGTGCTGTAAAACAAATAAGACATTATGTTTCCGTTTTCACAAGAATAAGAGAACACTTTGTCACCAAATGTCTGACTGACCTTTGACTTTATCACAGTCCAACACTTTTCCGTAGGAGGAGAACAGTGTATGCAGGTCATCTGCGGAACAAGTTGCACTAAGGTTCCCAACAAACACTTTGATGGAGTTCGGAGGGCGTGCTCTTGACTCCTCTACCACCAGGGGCCTCCCTCTGTACTCCTTTCCATCTAGATTCCTTATAGCCCTGTGGTAAAATGTGTAACATTTCATTTGAGTTTAAAAAACCAAATACATTAATTAAAATGTGTAATAGTCACTAACCTGTCCGCTGCTCCCTCTCCCTTTAGAGTTACAAAGGCATATTGTCTTAGCAGAGAGCAGGTGTTGATTTCTCCAAAAGGTGAAAAGAGTTTGTTAAGTTCATCTTCAGATGCGTCAGCAGGAAGATTCCCCACAAAAAGTTTTATGTGGTCACTCATCTCTGTTATGAGCTGGCATCTGCAAAAAAGACAAAGAACGCATGTCAACAACCGTCTGGTAATTTGGCAGGTATAACGTTAAATACACTCGAGGACATATCTCAAGTCCCCATGTAACAGGATGTCGTACTATACTTGTTTATATATGTTTAACGCACACAGAGCAAATGAGTGAAGAGCTTTCATTTGAGCTAGCGTTAGCGGAGCACACTCGTGTGGATAAGGCCCTGGCGCTGACGTGTAGCGTTAACACAACACGGGCCTAGGATTAATGTGAGTAATAACACATCAAATACAGTGGGTACAACTTCCTGAGCACATGGTTAACACAGAATCAACAGGTTAGTCCCTAGACTAGATCGATCAGGCAGGCTTTTAAAGGCTCTTTATGATTAGCTATGTATAGATTTAGCTGACGTTAGCTCAGGCGTTAGCGCGACGCTAGCTAATTTACAGGCGCTGCATAGTGGTTCTAAACAGATGAACAGATTGTAAATAATGACTAAATGGGTCAATTACCCGCTTCCTCTATATCCCAATGAGGCGTTTTAGAAAAAACGTTGTAATAAAAATAGCGCGCAGAAAAAGCCGCCTCTTACCAAAGGCGAACAGAGCGGAGTTCACACGTGACTTCCGTCTCCAGCCTGAGACATGCGCAGTAGTGTTTGTGTGTACATAAGTGTTGTAATATTTTAGTCTTTTACAATATTACGGTTTTTAACTAACTTTACGTTACATTTAACCAATATATATATATTGGTTAAATGTAACGTATTAAATGTATGGTTAAATATATAATATATTTATTTATATATATATATATATATATATATATATATATCTCAAAAATAAAGATACAAGTATTATAAATATCAGTGTATTATTTTGTTGTTTTCCCCTAACACCTGACCTAATAAGGATCATCACTGAGGCCTTATATATAAAAGTTACTGGGATAGAAATGTCATATTTGTCTCTTGTCTCGAGATGCCCGGAGTTACCATTGGTCCATATTACACAGCTGTTCGAATGACATTGTTTTGGTTATTGTTGCTTATATTTCACTGTATTTAAAAAAAAAAAACAAAAAAACAATGAAAGTAAATGTGCACTTTAGTCTTTGAACTAGGGATGTTGCCCCAGCTGGAATTGTGTGGATGCTGACAGGAACTTCCAGCTGTTCACAGCAGCTGTATGTGATTGTTTGTGATAAACTACTATATGGTCTTTCTTGATCTCTTATCTTGTGCAGTGGGCGGGGCTACAGGTGAGGTCAGGTGGGCGGGGCTACAGGTGAGGTCAGGTGGGCGGATCTCAGAGACACACGGAGGTATTTCCATAGACATTTCCCTCTTCTGCTCCACGCACGTCATGACAGGCCAGCGGTGCACGAAACATACACATATACTCATTTCCCTTTTCTCGAAGAACACCACACATAGGCCAAAGTAAAACAGCAACGGAGCGATGCAAAAGGTAAATACTTTTCTTTATTCGAATTTGGAGGTATGCTGAACTATGCTTGGGTGATTAAAAATGTTTGTTCTTTGCTTCAGATTTTGCGTTTATGGTTTTCATTGTAGATTAGCTGCATCTTCTTCACTCTACGTCATTTACTGTGAACTATACCATGAGATTATTATGATTTAGGACAATCTGAGCTGCTGCGCTTCACCACCAAGCCTGGACTTGCTGTGCCGATCCAGGCAGATTTATTACGCAGCTGTGAGGGGAGTGTGTTAAAGTGTAGTGGTTATGATTGGGAGCCACCAGGACAGGTAATTACCACTTCAGACATGCTCAAACCGCGGGAGGAACGATCAGAGCAGGACAGTAATTATTCTTGTGAGTTTTGCAGATGGCAGAGCAAGAGGAACCGCTGTACGACTTCCCAGAGCCCTCCCAGACTTCAAAGGGTAAAGGCCATCAGAGGAGCCAAGGGTCCCTGAGGAGCGTCAGTGTGCTGGACAGGCTTCTCCTCACTGTCCCGGTGTGGCTCCAGCTCACGCTTAACCCAGCCACCGCACTGCACATCCTCCAGCGGGAGCCTCCTGGGGTCAGGCGCATCACAAACTACCATTTACAATAGTGGTTTTCTACTCATTTGTTTCCCTGTACATACATGGCCATTATTGTAAATATTGGCCATGAAATCCAAACTACCACCTACATTAGTGGTTTTCTACACTTTCTCCCTGTCCATGCATAGACGTTATTGTAAATATTGGTTATGACCCACAAACTACTAATGTTTCCCTGTACATTCATAGCCATTACTGTAAATATTGACAGTTATTATAATACCACTATATACAGTGCCTTGCGAAAGTATTCGGCCCCCTTGAACCTTTCAACATTTTGCCAAATTTCAGGCTTCAAACATAAAGATAAGATTTAAAATTTTTGTCATGAATCAACAACAAGTGGGACACAATCGTGAAGTGGAACTAAATTTATTGGATAATTTAAACTTTTTTAACAAATAAAAAACTGAAAAGTGGGGCGTGCAATATTATTCGGCCCCTTTACTTTCAGTGCAGCAAACTCAGTCCAGAAGTTCAGAGAGGATCTTTGAATGATCCAATGTTGTCCTAAATGACTGATGATGATAAATAGAATGCACCTGTGTGTTATCAAGTCTCCGTATAAATGCACCTGCTCTTTGATAGTCTCAGGGTTCTGTTTAAAGCCCAGAGAGAACCATGAAGACAAAGGAACACACCAGGCAGGTCCGAGATACTGTTGTGGAGAAGTTTAAAGCCGGATTTGGATACAAAAAGATTTCCCAAGCGTTAAACATCTCAAGGAGCACTGTGCAAGCAATTATATTGAAATGGAAGGAGTATCAGACCACTGCAAATCTACCAAGACCCGGCCGTCCCTCCAAACTTTCATCTCAAACAAGGAGAAGACTTATCAGAGATGCGGCCAAGAGGCCCATGATCACTCTGGATGAACTGCAGATAACTACAGCTGAGGTGGGAGAGTCTGTCCATAGGACAACAATCAGTCGTGCACTGCACACATCTGGCCTTTATGGAAGAGTGCCATTTCACAAAGATATCCATAAAAAGTCTCGTTTAAAGCCACAAGCCACCTGGGAGACACACCAAACATGTGGAAGAAGGTGCTCTGGTCAGATGAAACCAAAATCGAACTTTTTGGCCACAATGCAAAACGATATGTTTGGCGTAAAAGCAACACAGCTCATCACCCTGAACACACCATCCCCACTGTCAAACATGGTGGTGGCAGCATCATGGTTTGGGCCTGCTTTTCTTCAGCAGGGACAGGGAAGATGGCTAAAATTGATGGGAAGATGGATGGAGCCAATACAGGACCATTCTCCAAGGTTTCTCACTTTTTCCCACTGGGTTTTTTAAGAGTTTTTCCTTGTCGATGCAGGAGGGTCTTGTTGGACAGTTAGTGTCCAACAGAAAGGATTGGTGATGATCAGGACACTTTAGCATTCTACAACATGTATGGACATTTTCTTCTGTGTGTGCTTTATACTGTATTCTTCATGTGTTTTAACTGTTGATTCTCTGACCTGTGTTGGTGATTTCAATGGTTTTGTTAAGTCCTCTGAGATGACTTCTGTTGTGACCTAGAGCTATACAAGAATAAATTGTATTGTATTGTATTGTATTGTATTCTGGAAGAAAACCTGTTGGAGTCTGCAAAAGACCTGAGACTGGGACGGAGATTTATCTTCCAACAGGACAATGATCCAAAACATAAAGCCAAATCTACAATGGAATGGTTCACAAATAGACGTATCCAGATGTTAGAATGGCCAAGTCAAAGTCCAGACCTGAATCCAATCGAGAATCTGTGGAAAGAGCTGAAGACTGCTGTTCACAAATGCTCTCCATCCAACCTCACTGAGCTCGAGCTGTTTTGCAAGGAAGAATGGGCAAGAATTCCAGTCTCTCAATGTGCAAAACTGATAGAGAGATACCCCAAGCGACTTGCAGCTGTAATTGCAGCAAAAGGTGGCGCTACAAAGTATTAGCGCAAGGGGGCCGAATAATATTGCACGGCCCACTTTTCAGTTTTTTATTTGTTAAAAAAGTTTAAATTATCCAATAAATTTTGTTCCACTTCACGATTGTGTCCCACTTGTTGTTGAATCTTGACAAATTGTAATTTTTATATCTTTATGTTTGAAGCCTAAAATGTGGCGAAATGTTGAAAGGTTCAAGGGGGCCGTATACTTTCGCAAGGCACTGTATGTACATGCAGAAGGAATGTATGTGTGTCAGACTCCTACAAAATACCATGGCATTTATCAACATCAATCGGCTCTAAGTCATGTTAAGTCTAAAATATTTTAAGTGGGTATCAAAAGAGCAGCAGCAAATAATCTAGAGTTGTATGGAGATTCTACAGGCCGCAGGCATTGGGAGAGTGATGCCAAAGTGGGTCATTGCATTAATTTTAGATTTGAATTCACTCAATAAGTTGTGTTCATGTGACATCACAACAGTTCGAAGAGTCTTTAGATCAACATTGTGGTGGTGGAGAGCTGAAAAATCATTCCTGGCGACTATTGTAAGTGACGATGTAATAGAATTCTACAACATTAATGAAACCAGGTTGGAGAGCAGGTACCAATACATCTAATTTCTGTATAGCCCCAAATCGTCTGACTTCAAAGTTTGGTCTGTCAATTTGCAAACGATAGATCAGAGAATCAAACAGTTGATAGGAAAGAAGCAATATTTGAAATTTCAAGAAACAGATCCACATTTTTTCCTAGATTATTGACAGTGATAAGATCAACAACCTGCCAAATTCTGAACGTCTTTTCTACTAGCCAACCTCATAGTTTTTTTTATATCATCACAACTTGACATCTTTTTATATACTTAGTTTAGACCCCATTTTATGAGAAAATATTTAGACCACAGTTGGTAAATAGAAGTGTAACTAGTTTAATGTAGATTTTCTCAGGAAATGTATAAAAATAGGCTCTAAACAAAAGATTAGAAGTCTGACGTTCCAATAGTCACCAGGGAAGATTGAGCTCCCCTCCAACACAATGTTGAACTGAAGGCGCTTTGGACTGTTGTGATGTCACATGAATACCATTTGAGTGAATTACAATCTAAATCAATGCAATGACCCACTTTGGCATCACTTTTCCAATCATCACTGTTGAAATGATTTTCTTTTGCTGCTGCTCTTTTGATAACCACTAATATTTTTGTCCATTGGCATAAAACAAAAGATTATCTGAAGAAAGTTAATCCTCCACTAAATAATTCAGTGTTACTGCGACATAGTATGCAGAGAGTAAAAGTGAAGCCTGCTTACCTGTGTTTACTTGTGTTAAAATTCACAACTAGTTTTATTATATTCTAGACATTCCTGGTTCGGAATTCTCGCACATTGCTGAGGAAAGTGCTGTGCGTGCGTTTGGCCGACAATAGTGAGCCGTCTTTTGTTCAGCAGTTCGATATCCAGGAGGAAAACTCAAGTACGTTCTGTAATGCAGTAATCTCTCTATACAGCTATGCATTCACATTTTCAGAAATGACCATATTTGCCATTGACTCCTTTAGACTTCTCCCTGGTGACCTCAGCCTTCAGTTTCCCAGATCTCCCAAGACTCATTTCCTTTTACTGTGCCAGCAGGTAAAATGTTATTTTTTTTAAAGATAAGATTTGCTTTATTTATCTCACATAGGAGAAATTTACATGTCACATTTGGCATGGATAGAGACACTCAGATTGTGCAAAAGGAGGAAATGTGCAAACATGTAACATGCAGGATATATGTACAATAAAGTGACAATAATTATGTGCAACAAAAGTGACAAGTGTCAATTGGAAACAGTGTCAATAGTAGTGCAGGTTTTCACACAGTGATCATTTAAAGTGACTTATTGTACAGTCTGACAGCGGTGGGGATAAAGGCCCTGCGGTAGCGCTCCTTCCTACACTGAGGGTGCCTCAGTCTTCCACTGAAGGAGCTCCTCAGCTCCTCTACAGTCCTGTGCAGTGGGTGGGAGGTATTGTTCATGATGGAGGTGGCTTTGGCTAGCACCCTCCTGTCCCTCACCTCCTCCACAGAGTCCAGGGAGCAGCCCAGAGTGGAGCTGGCCCTCCTCACCAGCTTGTTCAGTCTGTTTCTGTCCCGCTCTGTGCTGCCCGGGGCCCAACACACGGCAGCGTAGTAAATGGCAGAAGCTACCACAGAGTCATAAAAAGTCCTGAGCAGAGGCCTGCTCACTCCGAAGGACCTCAGCCTCCTTAGAAGGAAGAGGCGACTTTGGCCCTTCTTGTGCAGGGCGTTTGTGTTATGGGACCAGTCCAGTTTATTGTTAATGTGAACACCCAGGTACTTGAAGCTGTGCACCAGCTCAATGTCCTCCCCCTGGATATTCAGCAGCGTGTGGGAAAGTGGTTTTCTTCTGAAGTCGATGACCATCTCCTTGGTCTTACTGGTGTTCAAGCACAAGTGGTTGCGCTCACACCAGTCGACAAAGTCCTTGATAACCGACCGATATTCCAGTTCGTTCCCCTCAGACACACAGCCCACGATGGCGGAGTCGTCGGAGAACTTCTGCAGGTGACAGCTGTGTGTGTCGTGTGTGAAGTCTGAGGTGTAGATGGTGAAGAGAAACGGTGAGAGGACAGTGCCCTGAGGGGCCCCAGTGCTGCAGACTACCACCTCAGACTCACAGCTGCGCAGCCGCACGTACTGTGGTCGGTCTGAGAGGTAGTTGATGGTCCATGCAGTGAGGTAACTGTCCACTCCCGCGTCCTCCATCTTCCCACCGCAGCAGTGCCGGTCTGATGGTATTGAAAGCGCTGGAGAAGTCGAAAAACATGACCCTCACAGCGCTCCCGCTGGGCTCCAGGTGGGAGAGCGTCCGCTGCAGGAAGTAGATGACGGCGTCCTCTACTCTGATGTTGGGCCTGTAGGCGAACTGCAGCGGGTCCAGGGTGGGGCTGACCACGGAGCGGAGATGGGTGAGGATGAGCCGCTCCATGGTCTTCATCAGGTGGGAGGTCAGTGCGACTGGTCTGTAGTGAGCCGGTTCCTTGGCGTGTGCTGTTTTTGGGACCGGGATCACACAGGAGGTCTTCCACAGGACAGGGACCTTCTCCAGGCTGAGGCTCAGGTTGTACATGTAGCTGAGGACCCCAGAGAGCTGGTCTGCACAGGTCCTCAGCAGCCTGGGACTGATCCCGTCCGGTCCTGCGGATTTCCTCTGCTTCAGACGCTGGAGCTGACTCCTCACCTGGTCCGGTGTGATGGAGGGGGGGGACTGGGGTGTATTGTCCGAGGCGGGGGCTGGGGATGCGGGGACAGGAGGGCCTGGGGCGAAGAGAGCCAAAGTGACGAGCTGCACAGCGGGAGCTGGCGCCGGATATTAACATTAAAGGCTGAGCTTTTCTTCAGGGAAATTTAAATGCCCTTTATATTTTTTCCTAAAGTGAAAAAGTATATCATAAATTAACTTCTGTAGATATCACGTTAAAAGCCGGGTACATGACTTTCCTAAAATGAAAATAAATATTAATACGTATTTTCTGACTTGTTATAATGACTCACAAGATTCCTCTTAACACGTATTGCCAAAGATAAAATATTTTCTGGATTTATGTTCATAACGCTTTCTGTAATCAAATTATGTACCCCACCTTTTGGCTTGTCTAGATTTTACATTGTAATGTTTTACATACATACATGTAAACATACACATGTTTGTATGTGTCAAATTAAATGGTCGAGGGAGAAAAGCAAATCTGAAATGATTTTGTTTCTAGTGATGTGCTTCCTTTTCCACTGGAGCTCCCAGAAGCCATTGCAAGAGCGTCATCCCACAAAGAACTGGAGTCCATCTCACACATGGGAATAGGTCAGTACCCACAACATACATGACGGACTCTTTAGATGCCAGAGTTTTTTCAGAAATTGGATGGGAATTTTTCCATCCAATTTAGTATTCCCCTAATAAAGCCCTAAAACTGTATTAGAGGAATACTTAAATGTGACAAAAATAAAACGAGCAAACAGATGTAAGAAACGAGTAGGGAAATCTTTGTGGGAAGTCAGATATCTGTAGAAAAAAGGTCTTTGATTAAATTCTGCATCATGGTTAAATATTCAAAATACATAATGTGAATACTTGTTACTTAACATACATTTTATTTCTTTATTTGCATAACAGAGTTTTGGAATTCTCACTTGAACATTCGCGGACCACGAGATGCTCCTAAACCCCAGAAAGACTCGGCAAGTACACCAGATGTGACCCCCGCAGTCCCGCCGGCTGCTGAGGTCCAGCCAAAACAAGATGATCAGCCTGTCCCTGACGACCATCCTTCCACCCCTTCGGAATCGGCGAAAGAAGAAGGCACTAGCGCGGCCCTGTTTCAAGAGTTCTGCCCCATCAAAACCCGGAGCCCTAAAGAGTGTAACTATGGGCCGGGCCTCGGAGCCCTCTGCTTCATCAACCCGCTGTTCCTGCAGTCTCTAAACGCGTGGTCGAGGCGGCGAATGTTCAAACGCAGCCTCAAAGTCAGAGTTTCGACAGAGGGCTCCACGCTGCTTTCGCCGCCACTCGTCCCGCCCCCTCCTCCGCCGCTAATGCCAAAATGTAAAGGTCGTTGTAAAGCTAAAGGTTCAAAAGCGGACGACCAGACAGTTCGAATTAACCCAATAGATGATGATGATGATGAGGAGGACTATGCCGAACTACCGCCAAGAACAAGGGAACTTATCTTTGACGATATGTTGCCTCTGCCAACGGTCATGGAAAGCCTGGTCGAGGATGCGGACTACCAACAGCCATCGCCGAGCTTCAAGGCTTCCCATCCACTTTCGCCGTACCTGTCCCCGAAATTATCCAAAAAGTCAACGTCTCTCTCTCCTCGTAACTCACCCGGCAACAGCCCCTGCGTCTCGCCCTATCAGTCCCCGTTTCCTTCTCCCAAAATGCTTTCGCCTTTTTTACCAATCCCAAGTCCGATGGCGGAGGACGCATACGATATTCCAGTTTCTTATTCGAAGCCGCACCACCTGCTTGAAGTTGAGGAGCGAGGAGCAGGGGACGAGGAAGGAGAGTTGGTTCTGCGGATAGAGGCGGCGTCTTTAAGCGACAAAGACTGTTAGTTTTTACAGAGAAGCAAAGAGGAGGCTCAAGAGGCGCACTCAGCGATCGAACAAGACAGTGCTTCAAGTCAAGTCACAGATGCTTCTACTTTAAAACACATGCACACACTCTCCGATTCTCTATAGAGTTCTGTGCACCGGATCCCATTTGAGGACAGAATTATCACTACTATCGAATATTAAAAAGGACAGGAACAGTAGAAAAGTCTATGCCACAAGTGTCAAATAGAATGTGGCTATTTAATCATAAATTTCTGTCCATGGTTCCCCGACTCTGCAGCAGTATTATTAACGACAGTAGTAATGTAGCCGCTGGGAAATGGCTAACAAGGTTTGAATAATAAATATTATATAATAAAGCTCCAGACTAGATCAGTGTTGCACCGTGTTTGCTTGTTGACAGCTACTTTTAGTGATTTTTGAATTAACAGGAAAGAACAAATTATCATACCAGTCAGTCTGACCTTTTTTCATTTTTTTTTTTTATCAACAGTATTTTTGAAACTACCATTTTGATTTTGTCTACTACTAAAGATGTTAGAATTTTGGATTTAATAAAGTTGTATCAAAGATCTTTATTTGTGCAGATTTAATATCACATTTTACAATACAGGAAGTTATTACGTACACTTATAAATGCTAACATGTGTCTAGAAATAACAGTGGTGTCTAAATGTTATATAGATGGCATAATTGGACCACTGGACATAACGGTTTTTGCACGGCAGTTGTGTTTAAATACCTTTACGGTTGCTTTTGCGTAAGTGCTGGCTATATATCTGCATCAAAATTAACCATCAATTTTTAGTCCAGAAACAGCGAGATAACCCATGTCGACATTGTTGCGTGTGGGGTAAAATATGAAGAATCGTTCGGTTTTTTTGTCTTGTACAAAGTGAAGCGGTGTGTGTGGATCAGCACCAGCAGTCAGTGTCTCTTTTGCTGAGCTCCAGAAGCTCCTGCTCCAGCTGCTCCGCGTCACCCTCGAAACGCTCCACGAACGAGGTGATGAGACCGGCCGCGCTGCCCTCGTACTCCACCAGCTCCACCTCCTCTCCTGCGGACCCGAACAAAACAGACACGATTAAGTTCGACACGCCGCTGTTCGGATAAGTGGCTGAAATCTGTGGCACCGTTGGGGTAATTACGGCAGAGGCAGAGACTGTAGAATAGGGCTGAGCGAAAACACAAGGAAAAAAACCTCAGTGGGAAAATTTCAATAGTAGTGCAGATAACAGCATAAAATAGGGAGATCCTGTGTGCCTAATTTGAGCGCTATTATTTCTATTATAAAAAAGGTAGTAGATGAAAGCATTGGATCCTTTACCCAATTGAAATCATATCTCTACAGTATATTATCTGTCACTTGTTGAGTCTGTATGTCTGTGTGTGAGTGAGAGTTCATATGAATGTATGTTTTGAGAGAGAGAGAGAGAGAAGAATGGGGCCGGGTGGTTTTATTGTAACTTGTATGGTAAATTAAATCGTAGTCTGTCTGTCTGATGATGTATCGATCTGCTCTTATTTTTATGTTTTACAACAACCTGCTCAGGGACTACAGGTGTAAATTAGCACTGCTGCTACAACCTGGTACAATGCATCTCTCCTCTTGGCTAATGTTTATTGTACACAGTCACTGTAAAAATAAAAACCATACCGTCGTCAGCAGCGGTCATGAGGGCTAGGGTTACAGATGGTTTGTATTGTAGCAGCAGATAATATGACCAGATAAGCAATAGCAAAAATAGCAGGTAGTGGCTAGAACTATCAGAACAGAAAAAATGAATATAATAATGTAATCATAAGTGCAGGTAAAGTGACAAGAGTAAAGTGAATAAGATCAGACTATCAAATAGTGAGTGATTCTTGTGACTCGCACAATTTTTGGTCGAGCTTTGGGTAATGACGAAGGATAAGATCGGGGATACAAGCTGTCAACATGAGTTTCCTCTGCAGAGTGACTGGAGGAGCTAAGAGTGGCGCAAAGCCGATGCGTCTCACCATCGAGAGACGCCAGTCGATGAGGTCTGTTTTACAGTTTACAAACCTGCTCCTCAAACCAGCAATTATCCGGCTATTTCACTTTTATTTATTTCAGTAAGGTAAGCATTAGGTCCTACACAAAGATAATTCTATAGCCTGATTTCATTCTGAGTGTCTGCGTTGTCACTCACTCCTCCTGAGTGAAATCAGCTTACCTTTAACCCTGGTGTTGGCCTGGACAAACATCTTACGAGCCTCTTTTCGTAGCAGCACGGTTTCTCTCAGACGCAGGAAGTTGTGAGAGCCAGAATCGCTGACAGTGGAGTATTTCTCGTAGAGCGCCCGTCCTCCCTCCACATCTGCTGTCGCCTTGAGCACCTGGGAAACAGTCATTCATAAAGACATTGTGAATGATGATTAATGGGACGCTATGGAGACAAATGGAGCTAGCTGGGATAGGACTATTGCACTTGAATCTCAAAAACAATCACTGGAACTTCCAAAAAAGGCAGTGTGTTGCTTGTGTGAATTAGAAATGGTGAAATATATATTTTATACAACAATTTATTAAATTGGTTGACATTTCATTGGAACTACCTTTGCATTGTTGTAGCTGGGGGCGAAGTTTGCTTAAGTCAAAACAAGAAAGGAACATGTAATGCCACCATTGCAACATCCTTATGAAATCCAAGACATTAAAACAATTTTACAATCTTGAAAATTGACTAGGGCCTTTGGTTATGTATAATGAAAAAGGCATAGTGCAGGCACGTACAGTATATGGCGCTGAAAATGGCATTATAAATTCACTCCATACAGTGTGGTGAACAATTGCTATTGTCGTAACCCGCCCTGGGGCAGCTACCATTCCACTCCCACACCAGACTCATACTGTGCTTTAAAGCCAACAAGGTTAGAAAATGGGAACATTAGACTAGAACATGCACTAAGAGGATGCAGAGCCAGCCAGCACCATGGATCGTCTCTTAAAAATAGTCACATCTCATCTGCACAATGTGTACAATCACCTACACAATCTATCCTGTCGTTGAACAAAACGGACAAAAAAAACGTTGAGTAAAACTAACTACCAGTACTTTTACACAGATAAATGTGTGCTATGATTTCATTCAACTGGATCTTGTTTACCGCCATGTTTTTGTCAAAGCTTTAAAACCTTGAGTGTGGCTCCATCAAATATAATAACCTTTTAATGAATCACTTGAGGGTACCCTGACCTTAAGCACACGGTTAAAGACTAAAATCTATCATTCAAAAACATGTATGTGAGGAAATGCATCTCAAACTACTGGTTTGAAGCCCGAACAAACAAAACCATAAAAAGGTGTTTTATTTAAATCAACAGTGTTCAGGCTTAATCATATAATATACCTGCAGTTTTCGAAGGAACCTGTTGATGGCGTCCTTGCCCACAGTGTGGATCTTGCTGCGGTCCAGTGTGATCACAGCGTCTGGTTTTCCGTCTTGTCCGGTCACTTCTTGCAGACCCACGAGACCCTCTCCCGCCTCCAGCAGCACACTGAGGATCACAAAGCGAGCCTGCATGTGCGCCTGGGAAACACACACAGACACAGACACACAAACTCTCCGTTAGAGACCCAAATTAACTGAAATTAACTAACAAAAAGACAAAAGAATTGGGACTTGTAAAATGTCACAATGCGGTCAAACATAAGATGTGAAGAAACTTAAAGAAAAACTACATCCTTTACTCACAAATCACTAAGCCATGATTACATTTTCTAAAACACCGGATAACGTTTTGGTTCAAACTAAATCTCACTAGATTCAGACAAAAATGTATTTATTCATTCATAGAGATCAGAGAGAGAGACCAGAAAGACCAGAGAGACGTAGACAAAGGAAGTGTATGAAGTGCCCATGTTGGTACCTGTCTCCAGCTCTTGCTCTCTGGTGTGTAAAACTCCAGACCCAGGAGACCGGCCCGGACCATACTGAGCCAGTTTATGTAGATCACGTCCTCCGCATCCTGACCCTCAGTTCCGAAAATACTGCAGCCAGAGAAATATTTGATGAGACTTTTAAATGTGATGACATTTTCATCTGCACAAGTTTTAAATCTGGTCTCTGAAAGTGAAGCAGTATGTTGTTTGGGGCCGAGGAGCCTGAAGTCTGAAGACAATTCTAAAGACAAACCATTTGGCACAGATAATTTATTTCCCTGAATCTCCACAGCTCTGTCCTCTGAATGGACTTTGTGTCGATAAAACATTTTGGAATCATAACTGTTTTACTAAAACTGGAAACTTTGATGCACTCAGGAAAGACAGAGGGAGAGAACTGTGTCAAAGCTCAATGGTCAGATTCTCAATGGGTCACAGCGAAGTCCATGTTTATATAAAACTAATTCTCGTACCATTAGAATTCTTGAATGATGGTCGCAGAAAATGCTTGTGCACCTAATAGTAGTCATTTACATTAACGGTCTCAGAACATGCATCAGAAATGCACTGCTAGAACAATATAAACATCTGAATACTCCTGAACCAAGTGCAATTATAGCTCCAGAGTTTATTTTATTCTTTAACTTATTTTAATTATATATTGTCTTATCTTAAATAGACTATTTGATGTGTGCAATCTGAGTGCTCTTATTTCCTTCTTTCTCTGCTGTAATGTGCGCAACGATGACACTGAAATTTCTCCACTGTGAGACGAATAAAGGAATATCTTATCTTTTCTCTCAACAGTAAAGGGACATTTCTAAAAGACCAAACTTGTGAGCTGTTGTACCTGAGCACTTGTGGATTAAGACACAGATAGAGTCCAACACACTCGGCGCGGCACTCCTCGTACGAAGAGGCGATGGTGCTGAATTTGCTGTCCCAGGTCTCGCTGCCCTTGTACCAGCTCGTGACCTGAAGCAGAGACAAAAGCGACTGCTTCAGTTTCAAGTCATTCCCATTTAACGTCTGAACCAAAGATGCTCACTCGTTCCCCCGTCTCTGGGTTGATCAGTTTCGTCTGGTCAAAGTTGAATTTACCTTCGTCATCCTAGAAAATGTTCAAATATACATTAGAAAACATGCTAGCAGCTATTTCATATTATATTTGTGATCATTGATTGTCATTAAATTCAAATCCTAATGTAATATGTTCAATGATGTAATGACATGTACCTGGACAAACAGCTTTCCGCTCCCGTGTCCCAGTAGCTCATGGAGACCAACCTGCACTTCAAATGATGGGCCTTTCCATTTGATAAACAAATCCTAAAAAACATACAATTCTTGTAAGTAAATACATCATTGACACAAACGGTCATTTGTGAAACACAATATTTCAAAAAATGACCTTGTCTTCTTCTTTCAGGAAAGTGAGTTTTTCTTTTTTTGTGGCGTAAGCTACAGACAGAACATTTCCAAGAGACACATTCTTGAAGCCCTCAGACTGTCGGATATCATCATCTGAAAGAACACATCTCATCACGTTACAGGAGACAAACATAAGAGCATGCAGCACACATGTATCTAAAATGTAATTTTGACCGACAGTTGACCTATAATTCCTTTTCAGTATGTTTGATTCAGACCAAGGTCCATATTAAGCATTGAAAAACAGACAACAAAAATTATAGCGAATCAACTAACAATATTTACAAAATTCTGTATAGACACTTCATACAATACAGTTTTATTGCATGTTTAGCAAGTAAATAATCAAACCTTAAAAAAAACAAAAACCAATATTGTAGTTTTAATACAAGACATAATGTCCGTGTTATATTGAGATAATTTGACACCGATGCATCATTATTGTATATTTAGAACGTATGGAATCTCAAAATTGATCCAAATACTATAGTATTTAGTCTTATTGAATGGGCGTGCACCTGCTCCTCCTCATCCTCAAATAAAAGGGCTCTGCTCCTAACCCAGATCAGGTTAACCATGCCGGCACAAATTCTGATTTCTGTTCTGGTTGGAAACTTCTCGCCGGCCTAGTTTGGCAGCACACTCACAGTTGGGGATGTTGATGCCGGCTGGAATCCCGCTCCCGGCGAACGTCAGAACGTCGAGTGAAGTGAAGTCTGGCTTGAGGAACGTGTCCTTCTCAAACTCTTTGGGCCACGGCAGCTCCGGCAGCAGCACCTCGGCCGAGCTCACCAGCTTCGCGAAACGCTCACTCATGGCTTTGTTCACAACAGCAACAAAACCTGTGAAGTTACATCAAACAACAAGAACAAAGGCTTAAACACAGCTTTCATTACGAGTTTGAATAAGCTTGTTTGATTAATTGTTAAATGTATTAGTTACCTTCAAATTCTCCTCTTGACCCGAATGGATCTCTGTAGCTCTCAATGAAACCAATGTAACTATAAAGAGCAAAGATACAATTGAACATTTGTAAGACTGAGTTGTATTTCTTTGGCTACAATAGTGTAATTATAGAACAGTCACAAAGGAGATAAAGGACAATCAAATATTTGCCATGCCCGAGTCCAAAGTACTCCTACCTCTCCACAATCGGGCCCTTGTCTTTGATCCAGTAGCGAGATCCTTCTTTATGGGCGTCCACAGAGCCCAATGTGAAACTTCGTCTGTAATTTTCGATCATTTTCTTTTGGTTTTCGTTAGCAGCACATGACTGGTAAAGATTGAAAACGTGCAAATTAGTAAAACAGTAGACTAAGAACTATAGGGCAAGAGATTATGTTTTTACCTGTGCTTGTTGGAGGTTGAATGAGACCTTCTCCATCAGAGGAGCGTAGTCGCCTCGAGTCACAGTGAAGTCTTTGTCTCCGAAACAGAAGGTGCCACAACAAGACTCACACTCCCCGTTCACGGCACACTCTAGGAAGTACAAACACAAAGTTATTTTTAGTAAACTGATCTGTTGATGGAAACTTTTATATTATTAACAAACTCATTATATTATCAGTGTGAAGCCAAATAGCAGATGATATGCTGTTAATTTCCGTATCTACAAGCAGATAAAACTATTCATGCACAAATCTAATGAATGTTTAGATCAATAGTCACATTCTCCATATTTTGTGCATAAATACCAATCCTTTTTTGAATAATGTTGCAATCTTGTACAGTTTGGGTCAGAAATATGATGTACGAGTTGAGCTTTTTGCAACACCAAGAGACTTCTAGTAAATTGATCTTTTGTGGGAAATTAACCTACATTATATGATTACAAACCAAACACTAAAATTAAAAAAGCTAAATTGTATTTTTCTTGGACAAATTGCAGGCATCAAAATAGGTCATTTGAAGCTACTGTGTGTTATAGGAGGTTGTCAAATGTTTGCCGACCTTGTTTCACAGCGGAGGCCAGTCGCACCTCATAACAGATTTTCCCACCGTCTTCCTTCTTAAACAAACGTGTGTTGTATGCAGACAGTTTCTATGATAAAAAACACATATTTTAATACATAATTTGTTCGAGAATGTAATCTTTCCTATTCAACAAAATATAAGAAGGGGTAAAGTCAAATGCTTAAATCAAACTTACTTTTGAGTCAAGAAACTTCTGGGCCACCTCTGCATCCTCCAGTCCACAGTTCCCAGAGAAGTAGGTCGTGATGCCCTGATGAGACACATAACTTATTAATTATAGCTGATAAGGCAGCTGTGTTTTAGCAAGGAAGCGATTTGTTCATTAAATCTTGACATATTTTGAAATGTCTTTATCTCCCACCTTGTTGCCAAGCCCGAGCTGTTTCTGTTTGTCTTCTAAAGAGTAGAGCAGACAGGCACAGCTGTCCCACAGAGCCTTCATTTCAGCAGGCTGCTCCTGAAAGGCCTGGCTTGCACTGATCAAGGCTTTAAACTTGTCCTGGAAACAAGACACAGTAAGACAGTATTATAGACAATACTAAAATCAGTCTCGGTCCTCGTTCTATAGCCTGAGTCCTAGATCTATAGCCCAAGGTTTCTCAAATTCTCACGCTGGGTTTTTAAGATCCAGGAAGTACTGAGAGTCCACCATCTTTAGACCAGAGCTTGTATTTGCCAATGAAGAACTGCGAGGAGAGACACAGCAATACAGACACTTTGGATATTGCAATCTTTTATATGAAGAGTAGGGATGTCAAACTAGTTCTGCAGGTCAAGACTAAATTCACTTGAGAACATGGGTGGAGTCTGGTGTTCTTAATTGGAATGAAATCCTGCAGCCACATTGGACCATATCAGTGCAGTGATTGGACACCTGTTTACTGGTTCAGTTATGCTTTGTTTTATTATGATTATATATTTACAAATACTAATCTATATTTCCAATCTAAACCTCTCCAATGCAGGAGGGTCCAAGGACAGTGGTGAAGATCCAGGACACTCGACATTCAACAACATTTATGGACTTTGGTCATGTTATGGTCTATGTGTTTTTTATCATTGCATTTCCTGTGTTTGAACTGTTTCTCTGCTGTTTAAGGCTGTACATAAATAAATTGAACTAAAGCCATATTCAAATGGGTACAAGACTGTCAGGTCCCGTTTGAAAATACCTTAGGAAGATTTGGGATGAATTTTGTGTCTCCAAAGGACTTGTAGTTTCCCATGTTGGCGTATAGGCCTGCCGCATACACCAGAAAGGCCTGTAAAGTGAGAATACCATTTTTGTTGGCACTTAATTTGATAAGGCAAAATTAAGTTGAGAAAGTGGAAAGGGCGATGTTCACCTGGTATTCCTCAGAGCTGAGCCCAACCGAAGTGGCCACCTTTTCCAACTGAGCAGGTGTTTGCTTTCTGAAGACTTTCTGCAGCAACACAAAAATGTTTGGAGACTCTGGCGATGTCTGCAGCAGCACTACAAGGCCACCATACCTAAACCACAAACGATTAATCACAAAAAAAAATAAACACATTTGACATTTCACTTAGTGAGCAAGCATACCAGGCGGCTCGAGAAAGGTAATGGGCATATTTCTTTTCTTGAGGTGAGAGGAGGCGAAAGGCTTCTCGACAGTCCAGGGCAGAGATTCCAACGTCATTTGGGAGGAAGTACTGAGAGTCCACCATCTTTAGACCAGAGCTCGTATTTGTCAATGAAGAACTGCGAGGAGAGACACAGCAATACAGACACTTTGGATATTGCAATCTTTTATATGAAGAGTAGGGATGTCAAACTGGTTCTGCAGGTCAAGACTAAATTCACTTGAGAACATGGGTGGAGTCTGGTGTTCTTAATTGGAATGAAACCCTGCAGCCACACTGGACCATAGAAGACCGGTTGGACACCTGTTTACCAGTTCAGTTATACTTTGAACAAACAATAAGGACTAATTCACATTGCCAACCTGATTCCAACCTGTTTCCATGTGTCATGCATCATTGCAATATCCTTATTTTATATCAGTGCAATATCCCTTTCTTATACCCGAATTAGCAGTTGTATATTGCACATTTACAGATGCTAACATGTTGCTGCTAACGTACAGGTGTAAACACACTGCTGCTAACGTACAGGTGTAAACACACTGCTGCTAACGTACAGGTGTAAACACACTGCTGCTAACGTTCAGGTGTAAACACACTGCTGCTAACGTACAGGTGTAAACACACTGCTGCTAACGTACAGGTGTATACACACTGCTGCTAACGTACAGGTGTGAACACACTGCTGCTAACGTACAGGTGTAAACACACTGCTGCTAACGTACAGGTGTGAACACACTGCTGCTAACGTACAGGTGTAAACACACAGCTGCTAACGTACAGGTGTAAACACACTGCTGCTAACGTACAGGTGTAAACACACTGCTGCTAACGTACAGGTGTAAACACACTGCTGCTAACGTACAGGTGTAAACACACTGCTGCTAATGTACAGGTGTAAACACACTGCTGCTAATGTACAGGTGTATACACACTGCTGCTAATGTACAGGTGTAAACACACTGCTGCTAACGTACAGGTGTATACACACTGCTGCTAATGTACAGGTGTAAACACACTGCTGCTAATGTACAGGTGTATACACACTGCTGCTAATGTACAGGTGTAAACACACTGCTGCTAATGTACAGGTGTAAACACACTGCTGCTAATGTACAGGTGTAAACACACTGCTGCTAACGTACAGGTGTAAACATACTGCTGCTAACGTACAGATGTAAACATACTGCTGCTAATGTACAGATGTAAACATACTGCTGCTAATGTACAGGTGTAAACACACTGCTGCTAATGTACAGGTGTAAACATACTGCTGCTAACGTACAGGTGTAAACACACTGCTGCTGCTGCTAACGTACAGGTGTAAACACACTGCTGCTGCTGCTAATGTACAGGTGTAAACACACTGCTGCTGCTGCTAATGTACAGGTGTAAACACACTGCTGCTAACGTACAGGTGTAAACATACTGCTGCTAACGTACAGATGTAAACATACTGCTGCTAATGTACAGGTGTAAACACACTGCTGCTAATGTACAGGTGTAAACATACTGCTGCTAACGTACAGGTGTAAACACACTGCTGCTGCTGCTAATGTACAGGTGTAAACACACTGCTGCTAATGTACAGATGCTAACATATAACCACACTTTACTTGCACTAGAATACACAGTACTTTCAAGATAGAGTTTTATACTTATTATAGATGCTAGAGTTAGAGATTTTGTTTTATTTTAATTAGGACAGCTACTGTTCAGGTAACGTGTGCTCCTCTGTCCTACTGTTCTATAACTTGTGAAATTTCCCCACTGTGGGACAAATAAAGGATCTCTTAATGTTAAGTTTTATTATGATTAGCTCTATATATTTTACCAATACTAACCTATGTGTCCAATCTAAACCTCTACATTAATTAATCTATGTTATACGTTGATAATTGTACAATTATTAGTTTGGGTTAGTTGCCATTAACGAAAGAATAATATCTATTACCATAAAGAAAAGAAACACGAAGCAGTTCTATTCATAATGGTGAAGAATGGTTACCAACACACTTGCTCATTATCATTACTAAAATAGCGACATTCAGTCTTGAAATTAATTCAGAGATATTTAAATGAGTGTAAAACTGCCCATAATATCAGGTTGGCAGTAGGCAACATTAGCTCACATGTTTAGCCACACTGTCCGCTAGCAGTAAGTGGATTGATTGGAGCATATTGTCGAGTAAATCCACACATCGAAGCGGTACTGACACGGTTTAGCATATCACATGAAGGCTATTATAGATTAATTTGCACACAAAACAAATAAAACAAAGAACGGATTCGTAAACTAGACTTACTTCTCAATCGAAGAGCGTCAATTTGCTATCTCACGCTACTCACTTCCTGTATTCATTCAATGGAAGACCCGCCCTTGACCAGTCAGATCTCGTAGATTTTAAGTGTCAGAGCAATACAGCCAATCGCAGAGGAGCTTCACCGGCACTTACCACATGCTTTCTACACAAGTCCTCGGCTTCTGGCTCCTGTGGCTAAATTAAAGAGCTATACTGTTATTGACCTACACAAAATATATTACATCTAAGAGAAGGAATCACCACAATAAAGAAAAACGACATACTTGTGTAACTACTATGTTATTACAAGAAAAAAACTAGTATTTACAAATGGGACGTGGCATCTGACGAGGTGGCCGAGTGGTTAAGGCGATGGACTGCTAATCCATTGTGCTCTGCACGCGTGGGTTCGAATCCCATCCTCGTCGAAAACATTTTCCTCTTGAAGGGACATCTGTGGAAAATCTTTTGGCTTTGACGAATAATGTTCATTGAAAGTAGCATCACAAAATACACCACTGTTCAAAGACAGTTACCAAATGTTCCAACTCTCCTTTGTGACCTTCTCAGCCTAAAGAAAGGACTTCCAGGTCACACAGGCACGAGGAGGCACACGTGGGTTATCTTTTACCATGTCTTTTACTCAAGTAAATACATACTTTGTGACATTAAACATTTATTTCCTGCTTTTTGGGTATTACTACCTCTTATCGTGTCATTAAAGATAGTAATTAAGGGTTAATTTGTTTTTTCAACAGAATTCCTTTTATGCTAACAAATTATGTAACCACAACACACATGAACACACACACTCAATCATAGCTGCAAAACAGTAGATCCTTTAACCCATAAGCCCTGCATCCAAAAAGGATGTTGTGGCTCTTTGATTAATTTCAGAAAGAGCATGTAGTGACTGAAGTTCTTTGCCACTTGGTTCTGTGTTTTGAGTCTCCACATTATATATAAAAAAATATTAAAACGTTTTCACAATTAATTGTGGGGCTGTATTGCCCCCATTGTCAATATCATTCATTCTAGAACAGAACTGAGTTTGAAAAGTTGTTATCGACATAAAATATTGTCAATAATGCCAATAATTAATGATAAAAGAGTACAAACACTACCATTCCCGGGTCTTCAATTATTAGACTGTAAACCTTCATACTTGAAAATACAAAACAAGCATGGACAATATACCACTCAATTGTTATTTATTTTTTATCAAATTGTTTTATTGAAATCTAAAACAAAAACATGGACAGTGACGTATTTACAAAGGAGTGTGTGCATCAGAAGATACAAAATAGTCTGCAGTGATTGGTTCTAATATCCAAATGGTAGGGACTTTAGTGGCTGGAGTGGCGGCTCTAGTAAATCTTTAACAAACATCTGGAAAATCTGTGAAGAGCACCTGTGTTTGTTTATCCAAGGGTTCACGCTCGGGGTTTCCCATCGCTCTGTGCAGGGGGCGTCGTGGGCAGTATCCAGCGGTAACAGTCTGAGAAGCGCAGGGACTTATCGACGGCACAGCTTGTACAGTAAACAATGCCTAGAGCGAGCATGACAACCAAAAACACACATAGAGGAACCAACAGCGCCACCAACAGCCAGCTCTTGTCCTGCTTCTGTCTGCCTTGCTCCGACGGTGCTGTGCTGTAGACATCTCCAGGGCTGTCTATCTGCAAGCTTTCGCCTTTACCAACAGCTGATGACTCTTTCGCCCCTACTGCCTCTGTTTCTTGTTGCGTGTTCACTTTTGGTTTGCTTTCGTTGCCGATTTCATTCCCGGTGGGGTATTTTTGCGTTGGAGGTTGAACGGTGTGATGTGAGGCTGGGACATCGAATTGATTCAAGTCATTGTCTGAACCGTGGTTTGGCAAGAGGTGCTCTGGGCTGTCTGTGTACCAACCCTGATCGAAATCTGTGTCAACTTCAAAATTTGTGTCTGGAGTGAATGAGGTGGACCACGGTAAGTCACCATTTGGGTCAATGTCCTCTACATGAGCGGAATCAATTGGATCTGGAGTCAAACTTGAGTATTCTTCATCCTCGTTTAAAGGGGTGCATGTATAACCGTCTTGATCGAGATCATAGCCGTCGTCGCAGAAGCACTGGTAGCCGCCCAGAAAGTTTAGACACTGCTGTTGACAAGGCGACCCATTGATGCACTCATCGATATCGCCACACCCTCCATCATCGGTCAGTTCGTAACCAGGCGTGCATTGACAGCTGAAAGACCCGTCTGTGTTTTCGCAAGTTCCTTCACAGCTATTCTCATCCAAGCACTCATCTACGTCAACACATTCACCCTCGTCATCTTGCTGGTACCCCGTATGGCATGTGCAATGGAAAGTTCCTGGGATGTTGGCGCAAAGCTGGGGGCAGGGGTCTTGTTGGCATTCGTCCACGTCTTTGCATTCGCGACCGTCGAAGCCCATTTGATATCCGGGAGGGCAAATGCATCGAACCCCACGTGGCGTTTCGACGCAATCGTAGGCGCACCCCATATCCACGCATACTTCTTTCAAATGGGGTTGCTCTGTAGGGCCAGCTGAGTCAGATGAAAGTTTGGGAGGCGGGTCGAGTTTGCAGCCATAGCCATCTTCATCCAATATAAACCCTTCAGAGCAGTAGCAGTAGTAGTCTGTTTCGCCGTTTTCGCAAAAATGCTCGCATCCGTGGTCCTTGCTGCACCAGTCGGTTTCAGGAGATGTGTTAACGGAGCAAAGGGGAGCATCTCTAGACCAGCCCACGGTTTGGTCATCTCTCTCCATGCACAGGACAGTTTGCTCGTTTGGGGAATCTGGATCGGAGCTGTCAGGGGGGCAAGGGAGCGTAGCCACCGAGCCGTATGGGATGTGCTTTAGCCAGGAGCTGACGTAGTTAAACGGTGTGGTATAGACGGCCGGGCCTTTACCCTCATCGCTCAGTCGAGAGCACATGCCTTTGTAGTTGTACTGGCACACGTATCCATCCAGGGCCAGACTGCAAGAGCCATCGAGCCATTGGTAGTTCTGCTCCCCCTGGTGGCTGCTCTCGCGGCTGTGGACCGTCATTGCAACACAGCGGTGGGCAGCACATGCTCCGGTACTGTCCTCTTTTTCCCAGTTGGTGTACTGTCCATCCTGGTCTCCTGTAACAACAAATGCATATGTTAAAATTCTGATATTCTCTCTTTATCCACCCTAATTCTGGTATAGCTTTCAAGACCTTTAACAGAAGTTGTAATTTATGGTTCAATTGTATGTACACCAAAAGGCATAAACAATAACCATGATACATGAAATGACCAGAAATACAGTTTGAAAAGACAAAAACCAGACACAGAAACCACTCTTACTCATACAACAGACACACACGCACTCACTCAGACAAGACCCAAACACTCTCTGACCCTACAGCTCAATCTATTTTTCCAATCTATTCTGATTTTAATGTAATCAAAATCATTACGGGAGATATTTTTTATCCGCTGATGACACAATATTACACAAAAGTGTTATTCCTCAATGAAGCTTCCAATTCAGTGTCTTGCCCAAGGATACAAGACAATGGACGTTGGCAGAAGAATTATTAAGTTATTGTCAGAAGTATGTAATATACAGTATGTTCATGTAATTCTGGATGTGAAATTTACAAATATTGAGTAGCTAGCTAGACACTGGGCCCAATCCTGGAAAAGGTATGGCTATGAACAAATGCGAATAAATATGCTTTTCTTCTATATAATAATAATGAGTGTTTTCTCCTCTCTATTGGCACAAAGTGATACTATAGTCCGCCCAAAAGACTACTTTCACACAAAGTTAATGCCATTCCTTCACATTTTTTACAATATGACCCGGTAAGTGCTACTTGTAAAAAGACCCTAGTGCACTCAATGTACGCTACAGCTATAATTCAGTTAATATCCCTGTTTATTTATTTTGAGATTAACATTCCAGATTGCCATTTTAATAAGGGTTATAGTAGAAGTCTATGTTTATTTTAAGAACAGGCAGGGTCATAAAAAAAACCCTTTGGTCTCTTGGGGCCTGGTCTAATGACTATTTCAGGTTTTGAGGTTGCACTTGGGTCAGCAGGTTGCAGCTCTGTGCCGTGCCAGTGCTGTCAGAGAAACAAAAGCAGTTAATGTAATAAGCAGAAAGTCTGAGGCAGGAGGTCATGTCTAACGTCGCACAGTGGTTTAATTACCTTCCCAGAGCCAGAGGCAACAGGAAGAGCATTATATTTACACAGCACTTTATTTGAGCTAAATGCTACAAGAATGACTGCACGCTCACTGCATAAAGGATCTAAATATAGACTGCTGTTACATCTAATATAATACTGTGATTTAGACAGACATGAGCACAGTACCTTGGAGCTTCTGTGTATACTGTTTGAAGCATTATTTTGAGTTATATAATTTGTGCCACTAAGTTTTGTTAGCCCTTCCACCCTAAGCTCTTGGAGGTTTCAAGAAAAATGCAACATTGTTTTGGCAACTGGGATTATGACGTCAGTTTCTGCACCCAATCTTCAAGCTTGAGTGATTTAAAGAGGTCATATGGGCGATTCAAACTTCATAAATTGAGTACATTATTGTTGTGAACTTTGATTGCTACCTTGGTTCAGTCCTAATTTGTATATGATGAACTAAACGTACAGTATGTTCCACTTATTCTGGTAGAATACGAAACTTGGCTGAACAGAGAAGGAGCAAGGTTATAAATGCTGGTACCCAAGAACCTTGGCATTTCTACACAAAGCGGAAAACTTTATATTATCATATTTTTATAATGTATATAAAATATAATAGCAATACTTTCATCGGTTGATTAGTAAGTCAAGTAGTACTGTTTACCGGATTCCAGAGTAAAAGTGGGTGGGGCAGAGTAAGGTAAATATAGAGAGTAAAAAGAATAGCACCTCGCCAACATTCATAAGATTCCTAATTAAACAATAGCATTCTACCGCAGTAGAAATATAAAAGAATGGATCTCTTCCGCTGTTAGAATAGAAAATGGTTTTTGGAAAGTGGTTTTGCTAATGCGATTGCTGAGAAATAATTTTGTAGTATGTGATATTTGAAATTTAATTTCTTTCATCTATTATTTGATATTTGGTTTACTTAAAATGGGGTGGAGATTGTAACATTATATATGCATAAAACTGAATTAATATAAACTTTGCCTGTGACCCAGACGAATCCTCTCAGTGGCCTGGTGGGGGAGCACTGTCGCGGGGGCCGGTGCAGTCCGATCCACAGGCGCAGAGTGGACTTCCCCTGAGCCTCCAGCTGGTACAACAGGTCCTGGACCACGCCCGCCTCCGTGTAGTCGTGCATCGTGGCCAGAGTCCCGCCCTTCTCCCTGCAGCTGCGGCCGGCGTCTCTGAACGGCTTCCTCTGAAGAAACACGGCGTAGCACGCTTTCTCATAACACAGGGCATCCCTCTCTCCCAGCACAGGTTTGGGTGATGCATCATCCTGACCCAGACTTCCAGGGGTCACACACAGCAGCAGCAGGAGCCAGGAAAGACCCAGGAGTAAAATACTGCTGTTATTCTTCATCATCTTCCTCCAATATTAACTTTAAATTACATTAAAATTGCAAATAAATAAACAATATTTTGAATTCCAATAAAGTCTTAACACAATGTAAGGTTGTGCTCAAATAAATATATACAGTTAGAGTATAATATGAATGATCATTGTGTCTTTATCATGTGGTCCAGTTCACACTCAATAGTCCACTCATCCACAGGTTCCCAAAACTTTTAGCAAAATCTCAACTCCATTTGATTAAAAATATACATCCAGTTAAATCCGGTAGCAGTGGCCCTCAGCTCAATACACAGTGAATCCTCAATATTGTCTCCAAATTAAGAATAATTTAAAACAGCAGTGGTTAAAATAAAAATCAAAAATCAAAGTAAGATCCAGGTCTGTTCTCCGGGGCAGTCCACAGCATCTGCAGCTCTGGCTTTGTGACTGAACCTCAAAAAAGAGAGTAGAGGAGGAGAGGGGGGGTTTAAAGGGGGGAGTCGACGTAGAGGAAAGAATAGTGTGTTTTTTGGGAAGCTTTGGGGTAGGGTTGGAGGGGGAGTTATGAAAACCATACGGCACCACTCTGTCCCCCTGAATATTTGGGCTCAAGCCTCAGCATCCTGACAGTGGAAAGAGTTTGTCAGCTTTTGAGTGTGAGGGATGCAGTCAAGCAGTTTTGTTTGAGTTTCTGCATTTATGATGGGATTTTGTCTTTCTTGTTTCATTCTATGTCCAGACTTGTTCATTAATGCCCTCTATGTCTTGGATTAGCTCATATTATATGATTTATCTTTTTGATTTCATTATTCCAATTGTATTATTAAGCATACATTGAGTATTATGCAAAAGATAGAGATTTATACTGCTCCTTTTTATGCCAGTGATAGATTTTATTTTATAAAGTTTTATTCATTCATCTTGTGCTGTGTACTCCTCATTCCTATTGTCTGTAACTTGTAATACAACACTGAAATTTCGCCACTATGGGATGAACGGGAGATCTACGGGAGAACCTCACTTTCAAACTCCAAAAATGAAACTATGCAGTACAATCTATCTTGAACACTAGATTTCATGTGCATGTATTTTTTTGGCCTCTCTCCTATCTTTAGACCAGTTTTCTCAGACATAAATATGAAAAGGGGAGGACCGCTCTCAAATAGACTCACAGTGGCCATGTTTTCTAATAGATGAAGACAGTATATTGTGGTCTGATTTCCTTGTGGTGAAGGATTTAAATATAGAAAAGTAATTTCTATTTCTAAGTGTGAACATTGACATTTCATTGTTTCGCATTCTGAATAACTTGACATATTTTGCCCTTTAAAGAGACACATTTGTGTTGTTCAAGTAAATTTGTGGAATATTTTTGAGCCCTTTAAGGAAAGACAGATGATCAATATAAGTCAGTAGACCATCAGCCTAAAACCACACTTACTGTAAGCCTTGTTTGGTTTTTAACTTCTTACAGTCCTGGCTTAGACTGAGGTTGAAATAGTGAGTTGGGGGAAATGTCAGTGTTGCATCACAAGTTACAGACAGTAGGAATGAGGAGCTCAAGACAAACGAATAATAACTTTATACCAAAATAAAACAAAATGTCTAACTCTAGCGTAAAAACAAGCAGTATAAAATATCTATCTTTAGCCTAATAAGGACAGAAGTCTTAAAATCTCCAACTTTAGCATGATGAAGAAGCAAGAATTAAGTACAAAAACCCCTGACTTTAGCATAAAAAGGAGCAAGTAAAAAAATTGGGATTAAACCAGTTCTAGATATGCACGCTTGATCACATGGCCACTGACCAAAAGTTCTGAAATACAACATAAACAAAACATTGGAAATCACTTTTGGCTTGATAAAGTCACTAATTTACCACGCCTCACTTGGCTTAGGTAGTATATTCTCTCTCAGCCATACACTGTCTAAATCCTTTCACATAAGCTACCTTGATTTTTTTACCTGCTCCTCCAGCTGCAAGTTTTTACAGCCAAATGGAAACATTAGGCTCTCGGTTCAACTTCACACAGAGGGCCACGCGGTGCTGTGGGGTCCCATTGTGAATGCGATGAATGCACTTAATTCATGGGTTAGGTCTGGCTAAGGTCGTGGCTTAACCCTGGTTTTGGTTTTCAGCCTGATTAACTAACTCTTTTGTCTTTCATCTAAGCATTGGATATTGTACAACTTGTTTTGAAAGTCACCCCTTGCTTTAGGTTCTGGCTTATTTTCAATTAGCCCAGTTCCAGTTCTTTGGGGCGTAGTGAGCTCCATTTAACCGTGCCATAAACAATAATTTTATTAGCTAGTTGACCATTATATGAGAGTGCCTTTGGATTTTTATAGTTATTGCCGGTTTTCAGTTTTGCTTTGGACTTGAATGAGTACTCTTTTATGATACATGATTTACTTGATGTGTACTTGGTTGTGTCGAGATGTGAAAGTAAGCATCTTCAGCCTTTTATTTAATATGACATTGACCAGTGCAAATAATATGTACAATTCCAAGCAAGTAATGTGAAGTAATGAAATGTGCGTTGAGGTTTAGTTGCATCTTTAAAGTCATCATTCATGTATTAATGAGTAAAACATGCAATACTTAATTCCCAATAATAACATTTCCAAGACAACAGAATAAACATAATAAAACATTCAATTGAAAGGCTGTGCAAAGTTATTATTTTTCATATATTTCCTAAATTTGGCATGAGGCTACCCATGCTGCATGTGTAGCTTGGTTGCTAAAACATATACAGCAATGTCGATGAATGTGCATTATCCCTGTTCAAATAAAAAATAAAGGTCATTTGCAAAAAACGATATCTCCGTTTTGAAAAGTTCTTGTTACAATCAATGTTCTGTTATTAGCAGTATAATTTAAAGACTTTGCTCAAGAAGGGATGCAACTTTATTTGTATGTCACTAATCCTTTGATAAACTTAAAGGGGAAAGAGAAAATTGTAATCTGTTCACATATTCTTCGAATGCCACTTTTCTCCTTTTTCAAATGCTTTTTTTGAATCCTTGATATGGGTGCACATATTTACGAATGCAGACCTATATTTCATTTGAATTAGCCTCTCTTTACACTTTAACATTTAGAATTGGTGAGGATGCAGTAAACCGGCTTTTATATAGTCTCCATACACAGTCTGCATGTGTTGAAGTATATTCCCATGAATGTTAAGCCGTGGGTTCGTGTTGGCGAATGGAAAAGACTACCTGCCCCAGTGTCCATAAAAGTGTCCAAGGCTCTGCCATTCTACAGTAAGTGATCCACACATGTACAGAAACGGCCCTCCTGTGAGCGCGCTGCCTTCGGGGGCACGGAGCCGCGCAGGAAACAGGAAATGCCACATATGCACGACCTTTTCAGAGAGAGACGAGAGAGCTGGGGTCTTCATTGTGATCCAAGTCGTGGTATAATTTGAAGTTGCTCGAAGAATGAAACATTTTCCAAATCGAATGAATTGTTTTTCAAAATCCGTCAATGTGATTTTGTTTGGTATTCAGCCCTAGCAAACCAAACAACACTGATAGGAAATACTATAACGTGTAAAATTAGGGATATTCCCAATGTGCGCACGTTTTGAGGAAATTTTCCTATTGCAAAATGGAGAAAAAATAATTGAAGTTAAATTATTTTGATCCTTCTCCTGGGTACAAAAAAAGCAAAAACAAGCCAGCTGCATTTCAACAAAGAACTGACATCTCAGAATACAGTCACATGACGTAAACTATAAACTTCTAATTGCATCTGCATGAAAACCAAAATACAAAATTGTTAATGTAAAATATCATATACAGAATATTTAGAAATGATCAAATCTATAAAATGTATGTTTTTAGTTATACTATAGTAGCGCCAGTTAACTTCCCCTAAAATAAAACACACGAACCGCAACTATGAAGGCCCTTTAGCCACATGACCCACCTCCACGCCAAATCGTACTGAACTTTCCAAACAAAAATATGATCTCTTTCCGCCTTATGTGCGCGGAGTGAGAAAAGCCAAATAATGCAGAACAAAGCCAGAAGGTTCAAAGAGGATGTTACAGTTACGGAGGCGGACAGATGGTGAGAGGCTGAACGAAGGCCTACCACAAACAAACAACTGCAGTGATGACAAACTGTACCGTGGTGCCGCGACACTGGGGCCACACAAAGACTTAATGAGGGATGCCATGTCCAAACAAAAAAACTGCTAATGCCGCTCGCATCTGGACACTTCATTAGAAAACACTCAAGAGTCTATTTGAAACTGACAAGTAGAGAGGCGTTTGTAGTCAGCACATGCAGTTAAGTTGCTTTAGTCGTGCTTGTCTGGTTTGATTTAGCTCTGGTTGGTTCAGTCTTTTTGTTTATTATGGTTAATCATGGTTGGATCCTAGTTTACATTTCATGCCAACTGCAGCATTGGTTCAACGCTTGAGGCTTGATCCCAATATTATAGCAACGCTTTAATCCTGGTTAGTCTTTAGTCCTAGCCAAACTTTATCAATGGTTTCAAATAGGGATGCACAGTTACCAATATTGTGCAGATTCAGGAAAGTTTATTGGATCAGCCCTCAGTCCTATGATAATGGTAAAGCTGATGACCTGATTAGGCAGCATAATAATGTAAGCTGATAGTGGCTGATAATAACCCAGAATGTCATTGAGTTTTGCCTTTTAGTTGCGGAATGAATACATATTCAAATTCACAGCCATATAACCAATAGAAAATCTGTGGAAGGAATTCAAATAAGGGAGATCTGTAAGGAAGAATGGGACAAAATACCAGCTATATAGGTCCAAACCTGGTGAGGGCCTATGAAAGACATAAAAACAAATTGAAAAGTAGAGTTGAACTTTTGTTAATGGCAAAATACTCGCACCAATAGACAAATACATTGTTTAAAAATCATACCGTTATACCAATCAATTTCCTGGATTTCGGTTGAAGCCTATGATGAAAATTAAGGAATTAAGGACTTAAGGACAACTTGCACAATCTGTAACTGCCACATACAGTACATACACTTTAG